TTCCTGCAGGGTTGGCTAGCCAAAACCTGGAGTGGGATGAGAAATTTGAGTTTCCACATCTGCCAGGCTGAGAGGCCCATATCTAAGAACAAGAGGTCCATAATGTATCAATGTATCTATTCTCTTGGCATGATTACAAGATCCATGACTGGTGTGCCATGGTAGTGAGGGAAAAGTACCCATCAGCAGCAGTAGTTATTTCATTCTAGAAGCTAGTATATAGCCTCAGCAGTCACTTGTAAGTCCAGTGGGCAGTGGCCCAGCCCTGGCCCTTGCACAGGTCCCGGTGGCGGAGAAAACAGGCATGGACTCGGAAACGACGGCCACAGTGGGGACAGGCATGCAGGGCTCCAGCATGGGTCTTCATGTGCTCTGTCAGATGGTGCTTCAGCTTGAAGCGCTTGTTGCAGATGCCACAGCCAAAAGGCCGAAGGCTGAAGGTCAGCATGATGTGCCGGTCACGCTTTGGCTTCACTGCAAACCGCTTCCCACACAGGCAACCAAAGCGTTTTCCATCTGCAGGGGGTGTCCCCCCTAGCTTCACAGGCCCATGCACAGCCTGGCCTGCTCCCCCAGGTCCTCCTCCCCCTGACAGGATTTCATTCCCATGAAGATCCACTGGTTTCCAGGATGGACCCCCTCCCCCAGATGTTGGCCCTGCCCCTGAAGGCAACAAGAACCCTAGCTCCCCATTCCCTTCAGTGTCCCCTCCAGAAAACACTTTGGTTTCCTCCTTTGCTCCTCCAGGCTGAGTTCCACTTCCTGATATCTCCTCCTTAGGCTCGAAGGGTTCCTGCTTAATGTAGAAGATTTTAGGGGGCAGTGCAGTAGGAGGGGCAGGAAGCTCAACTGGTGCACTCTCACCCTCTGGAAGCTTTCGGGGAGTAGCAGTCACGGGCAGTGGGTGGGGTCCATGAGGACGGGGAAAAACCCCTGATACTCTCTGGGGCTGAGGAGTCTGAGAGAGTGTGGCTGACCCCTGGTCCTCATCATCATCTTCTTCCTCCTCCTCCTCTTCTTCTTCTACCTGAATTTGCAGCACTTCTCCCAGTTCACTTCCCTCCCCTCCCACAGGGCTCTCAGTGGAAGCAGGGCTTTCAGTGGAAGCAGAGGATTGTACTGGGGTCTGGAAAGGCGAAGAGCGAATGCACCAGCCTCCTGTAGAGGATGTAGTGGAAAGAAGGGCATGGTAGGAGTTTGCTCCACGGGCTGAAATTCCACCACCTGAAGTTTCTAATTCTCTAAGAATCTCTGAGCACTGATCTACTACTTGCCACATTTGAAGGCCACTGGCCACAAGGAGATGAGCAGGAAGAGCATCCAGTGGTAGGCGGAGACGCCCTGAATAAATGAGCTGGAGCAGCCCTTCGAAGGCATCGGCTTCAATGACACTCGGCAGAGTGAGACGAGGTGCATCCCCCAGAAGCAGCTTGTCATGGAAGTAAGGAGAGGCAGCAGCCAATACTGCTTTATGAGCCCTAAGTTCCCGGCCCTGCACCAGGAGGGACACATCACAGAACTTTCCCTCTAGCCTGTGGCGGTTCAGAGATTCCAGTAGCGATGAGCTATGCTGCGGGAACTCGATCTGTATTGTCCGTGGGGCTGGGTTGCAGGTCGGGGAGGCGGGTACGGGCGGCAAAGGCGTTGGGGTTTCCATGGCCTCCTCGAAGGTGAGAAGAATTGGGAAGAGGAGAGGGGCCTGGGGGTAGACTCCACGCGGGATGAAGGCTGCAGAGGAAAAAGATGGAGGTCACAGAAGCCCTGGATAAAGGGAGCCACATCTTTTCAAACAACCCCCTCCCCCCACGAGCAATAACTGGAAACTTTTAAGTCAGTGGCGGTTTCTGCAAATCAGTCCAGCACACCAAGAAAGCAAAAACAAACAAACCAGCACCACCACCAAACACCAACCGGGGTTGTAGCTTCCAGCCCCTGTGGAAGATGCGAAGGAGGTCCTTCAGCCACGAGCCTGTCTTCACCTGCCCAGAACAGCTCCTGCCCCGCCGCTCCGTTCCGCCTCACAGTGCCCACAGAGGCCTGCTCCCGGGAAACCACGGTCACCCGGACACCGGGAGTCCCGGCCCGGCTGTCCTTCCCGCCGACACGCCCCCGCCGTTACACACGCGGCGCTGCCCTCGCAGCTACAGTGCCGCTACAGCTCCGTCCCAGGCCGGAAGCCGCCGCCTCCCCGCCGGACGCCGTCGCAAAGTGCGGCGGGCGGAGCTAGAGGCGTAGCCAATCGAGGAAGGGCAGCCTACAAGCCTCGTGTTGACTGGCTACCGCAGACGAGGAGGGCGGTGCTAGTAGGAGGGCGCTGGCCCAGGGTGCCAGCGTATCGGGCGTCCGGGGTAGCTGCCGAAGTCCTCGCCGCTACAGAGGACCGAGAGCCAGGTCCCAGGAGAGAACAGCCCGGTCGGAGGGGGCGGGCCGTCAGCCGCCCCGGAAAGCTGCGTTTCCCGGTGATTAAGTGTAGCACCCGCCCCCGGTAGGTCCTGAGAGGGGCAAGATTAGTTGGGCACTTACCGTGTGGGCCTGGCACTTGCCCACATCACCTTGTGTCCTCCCACCGGCCCTGCGAGGATGGGGGTTGCCGTCCTCAGTTTCCAGGCGGGGGAAACGGGCTGGAAGCGTCACTCAGTTAATAGTAGTGGACCTGGGACTGGAACTCAGATTTGCTAAGGAACTAGGCAGGTTCTTTCCTCTATTCTGCATAGGAGCATTTTAACCAGCAATTAAAGAAACCTTACTTCTAGGTGATTTTTAAAAGAGATAAATGTGGATATATACATGAATTCTTTTATCAGATAACGCCGCTGTTCCTGGCCTCAGACTAAGTGACACGGTGAGGGGAGGGAGAGACTGGAGAAGTTTGGCCAGTGCAAAACTCCTGCTCTAAAATATAAAAACTCTCATTGGGAGGGGAGAGTGACATTTTATGAGGAGAGTGTGGCATCAGGTGGGGATGTACGGTTTTCCTCTCAGGCTGTCAGCTTCCTTTCAGAAAGCAGATCTTACCACCGTACAGGTCTGTCTGGAGAGCCCTGCCTAAGAAAGTCGGCACAGCGATAAAAGAACAATCTCCGTTTATTAAACATGTTTTTTTCTGTTTCACCACACACTCCAGAAAAAAAGGAAATGGGGCTGGGAGTGGAGAAAAGGGGACAGCGAGGAGGGGATAGATAAGGCTGGGAGTGGGGTGGGGAGGGAGAACGAGAAAACAAAATAAAACAGGTAGGAAGAGCATCTCCCTACCCTTAAGGTAGTGGGTGGGGAGGGAAGCAGAGGGGCGGGGGGGGAGGGGGCCAGGAAGCTCTGTACAGAAGGGTTGCCCCCAGCCCACACACACACACCCCGGATATGTACAGTACAAACCCCAGATAATTACAACAGCCAAAGAAGAGAGAAGGAAGGTTGGGGAGGGTCCAGGGCTAGGGCCTGAGGTGGGGAAAGGGCACAGGGATAAAATTTCACATATTTACAACTTTTATATAAGTATAAATTTGGCCCCGGCTGGGTGTATGTGTAGGGGGATAGGACTGAAGGGAAACTGTCCATACAAAAGAAAGAGTAGAGTCTAGGAGAGTCTCAATACCAAACGCAAAAGGATGAAGGGGGCAAGGCTGGGTAGGGGACAGCAGTCAGGGAAGAGGGGGTGCCAAGGAGGGGCTTCTCCCCTCCCATGGCCTACCCACCCCAAACCCCATCCATCCTACCTCCCCTATCCCGCCAGAGAACTATGTACAGAGAAACACCGAAAAATTGTGGAGCTGGCGGGAGGGAGGGAGGTGGAAGGAGATTGGGAGGGGGAGGATGAGAGGGAAGCCCAGCCCCGTCCTACCTCCCCCAGGGGACAGAGTCATGGAAGGGGGCCCCCCAACACCCCTCCTCCAACACAGGTCCCCCCACCCCGGGGGAGAGAGACATGGCTTTTCCTAGAGTAAGTTCCCCCCTCCCCCTGGGAGTAGAGACCAAGAAGAGAGAAGGGAGCGGCACGGGGGGCTGTGTGTCAGTGTAGGACAGATCAACTAGCCTGTCCTCCCAACATACACACCCTCCTAAACCCTGACCCCTCACCCTAACCTCAATTCCACCCCACCCAACACACTGGGGGAGGGGGGGGCATAAGCCCCCTCACCCCGCTCTGGGACCAGCCGAGAGCAGATCAGGTGTGGGGAGAAGGGGAGACAACTCCCATTCCCCCCTTGCCGCCCCCTCCCTGCCCCGGTGGCCCCCTCCACCCCATCTGGGTTCTGGGTGGGGAGGGAGTAAATTTAAGAGGGGTAGGAGGAGGAGTTTGTGCGTGCTGAGCCCCCCCAGACGCTCCTGAGAAATCAAGGGGTAATAGGGCCCCCTCACCTGGGGTCCCCTCCCCATAACAAGGGGGGCAGGGGAGGCCAAAATGGGGCGGTGGAGGGGAGTTAGATTGTCAGCTCTGGTTACTGCTAAAAAAATCACCCTGAAGTTGAAAGTTTGGAGGTGCCACACCCCCAGGGTGGGGGTGAGGGTCTGTCCCCCAGTGCTCAGGGGAACGATGAGGCAGAGGATGGGGATAGCACCCCGGAGTGAAGGGGTCTGTGTGGGGTAGGCGGTGTCCTGGGGCAAGGGTCCCTGGGGGTCAAAGAGAGGGCAGCACCCCAATGGGAAGGAAAAGGGGGCGGCTGAGGGTCCCCGCTCTCCCTCCTGGAAATGGTGCAGTGGGGGGGGGGGTGGGCAATCAGTGTGCCTCCCAGGGAGGCATTCGGGGAGGCAATCCCGCTGTTCCTCGGTGATGTCCAGTCCTGGTGGTTGGTGCTGTTACAGGGTGGGGTGCACAGGAAAGGAAGAGAAGGTCTGTGATGCTGGGTGGGCTAGTGGTCTGCGGTGTTTCGGAACTCGCCGTTCTCCGTAATCTGCAGCCGGGGTGGGGGTGGTGGGGCTGGGGGGGCCAGGCCGTTCCACGGTGGGGCCAGCGTCACACGCGGGTTTGTTGGACCCAAGGGGGGAAGCTGCCTCTCCTGCAAGACACCAAAAAGGAGAGCGCGGACTTATTGAGACGCTTCAAGGGGGCCTGGATGCCAGTCCCCTAGCAGTGGCCTCCCCTATAGCCAGCCCACACCACAAGCCATGGACCACCTCCTCCTCCCAGGACAGTCCCCACCATCCTCCTATTTTGTTTCTCACCTGCAGTAGAAGTTAACGTCCTCTGGGATCAGAGAGAAGAGAATCTCACCCCTAGACTCCTAACAGGGGCCTTCAAGCCTTTAACCCAGAGTGTCACACCAGGAAACCAGATCAAAGCAGGAAGTTCCCACCGCACCCCCAACCTAACCCTTCTCTGGCTTCACCTATGTATATTCCTGCCCATTCCACCCTCCTCCTCTTGAAACCCCCTCCCACCCATCCCCAATCCTAGGTGGGGAACTTCATGTTGAGGAATAAGGGGAGGCAGTACAGCAAAACCTCATTAATCCAAACCCCTGTGGATTTGGAATTTCTTCGTAATTTGAACAAAAACTGAGCTTGAGTTTTCCTTTATCTGTGAAGAAAAGGTGTACTAAGCAAATTAGTGGTGGAAATATGTCTGTAGGAGGGGATATTTAACCCATACCAGAAAACAGACTTTTGAATCATATCTATTCATTAATGCATGCTCCCTGAGGAGTGGAAAAAGCCTTGTTCATCAAGTTCTACTTACTGTATATATTTTGAAGACATGCATTTCATTAAATAGACACTGTCATTCAGTTTTGTCACTTATTCACAGTGGCCATCTTCTCAAATATAACATTCCAAATTAGAGAGAGGTTTAACTGTACTGGGGGGAGAGGAAGGGGATTCAGGGAAGTGATACGGGAAGGGAAAAATCTTATGGGAGGGCTGCCCCTCTCTCTCACAATTATGGCAGAAATGACTAGGAGCTTCTGCAGACACAGCATGCCCCAATGTCTGCATCCCTGGGAAGCAGAAGCCGGCTTTATTCTTTTCCACCCCCATCTTCTTTTCAGTCCTTCTCCCTGGGCTCCCAATTAGAGGGTGAGGGGTACCAGACCCAACTCCTACCCCTGGTCCTACTCTCATCACCTCCTATAGCTGCTGGACCAACTCCTGGTTCCTGCCCTTAGTTCTGTTCCTCTGCTGGGAGAAAAGAAAGCCATCTGAATTTCCCTACACTTCTGGTTGGGAAATTCACTTCCTTCTCTCTTCTTTGGCTGTTGTAATTATCTGGGGTTTGTACTGTACATATCCGGGTGTGTGTTGGGGGGGCGCTGGGGGCAACACTTGGCTTTTTAAAATTCAGGCTCAGAACTAATTTTTAATTAATGGCTGAGTTGCAGAGGGACCAATACCTACCACAAGTGGTTTAGAACAAATATCCAAATTATTACTTGGGCTACATGGCATTTAGGCTTGGCAATATAGCTATGTCTGACCTTAAGCTACAAAACCTTCCAAGTAAAAGCTTCTATGTAAGCTCTCCCTTCCATCCTAGGATTAAGGAGCTAACCTCTCAGGTCGCCCAAACCCCAGCCTTGGGTATGAGATACCCAGCAAAACTGCCTTCTTAGCTTGCTGGGTATCTCACACATTTTCTGCAAGTCAGTGAGAGGAAATCACTTATGGTAGGGTATCCTGAGTATGGCGGGAGAGCAGGAAAGGAACCCCCATATTCTATTCCCTGTTTGTCTGCTGGTGACAGCACATAAGCATGCCCCGGACACCCCCATAGACCCAAATTTAGAAAGTGGATAAATTAGGGTGCCATTATCCATTTTACAAAAGAATTCACTGCAGGAGTCCTTTAAATGGCAAAGTCCCCTGGTGCCTTTTAGCATCTGTTTATAGATCACCAGCTACTTTGACAGAGAGGCTGGGCAGACAGAGTTAAAATTACAGTGTAAGGAGCCACTGCCCACTACAGCTCAATCCCAAAGAAAATCGCATCTCAGAAATAATGTCTGTAGCTGACAGGTTCTCATTTACTGGCTTTTTAGGTAGGGTTATGTGTCTGGCAAGGCCACTCAATGGCAGGAGAGGGGGAGTGAGTGGCATCAGCAACCTGGGGATGTGAGCTCTGAGAGTACGTTCTTTACCATGCTGTTCCTGGCACCTCTGCCTGGGAATCAACATGCCTACTGAGCCCACGATCTGATCTAGGAGGATGTCTCTCCCCATTTCTAAACTCCCAGGCCACATGGTCAAGTCCATGTCCTAACATCTGCCTGAGGTTCCTTTCTTGCTCCTTCTTGTTCCACCCACCGTGCCTAATGTCAGGACATCTCAATAGCATTTTTTCCAGGGTATCCCAAGTCTCCCTGAGTTAATTACCCACTCCTAATTCCCACCCAACGGGGGCCAATATGAGCTCCAGATGCCTTCTGCCTCACAGATGTGAGGAGGAGGAAGAGAGAGAATCAGGTGAGGAGTGGAAAGGAGGGTAGAGAACCAGTGTTAGGGAAGGAAGAGGAAAACCCAACCTACCTGCTGCAGTCAGCACAGCCCCTATAGCCAAGGTCCTCCAACCCATCATCGCCTCCACCCCATTAACAAACCCACCCCCAGCCCCTAAGGACACTCTGGTGAAATGGGGGGTGACAGACATACACTGGAGAGGTAGAGGAAGAGGAGGGCTTAGAGTCAGGAGGAGGCTGGGAGGGGGTAGGTTTTGCAGGGAAGTGGATGTGACCTGTGAATGTGCTGGGCCCATCTAGGGCCCAACTCTTGGTGTTGCTAAGGTATTGTTGGACAGTTCTGGGAAGCAGCAGCAAATGCTGTCTTTGGGTGGTGTCTTGGGAGATAGGTCTGTACAGGAGGTGTCGGAGGGCTGGAGTCTGTGGAGGTTCTCTGGGTGTGGAGGGCAGCAGTGAGAGGGGAGAGGCTCCAGAGGTGTTGGAGGGAGTGGGCTTCATGACCAACCTGCAGTGGTCCGGAGTCACCTCCCCCTGTGTCCTCCGCCCGTGGCCAAAGCGGAACCAGGAGAATTACCTGATGAGGAGCTGCAGTGGGAGAGAGTGGGGTCATGGGGTCAGGAGCCTTGGTGGGGGCATGGCAGGCAGGGGGAGCCTAGCAGTCAGAGCAGAGGAAAGAGGAGTATGGGTAGGAAAATGAGCAGAATTTTGGGAAAGCAAGGGGTAAGGGTGCAGAAGGGAGGTCCTAGAAGCTGGCTTTTGAGAAGAGAGGCTGGGCAGCAGGCAGCTGGGAAGGTGTGAGGGCCAGAGTGGGAGGGAGGCCGGAGGGAGGCCAAAGGGAGCCTGGACTTAAATTCTGAGGGAAAAGGGAGGTTACAGGATGGAAGGCCTTCAAGATCTGAAGAGTCAGGAAGAGGAAGCTATGCAGGAGCTGCCAAGGAGACAGGAAAATTGGGGAGCCAAGAGAACAGAGGTGATGGGATCCCCAAGTTTTCAGGGTACCGGCCAGGGCCTAGGGAAACTACAGATCATACTGCCCTGTGCTCTATTCCAGAAAATAGCAGCTTCTAGCCCTCTGGCCCAAGAGCTCAGAGGAAGCTGAACAACATGCGTTGAATAGGAGTGGGCAAAGAAGGGGCAGGGGTTCACGGAACTAGGTGGGGTCTAGGGGCAGAAAGACCAAGGTTCTGGTAGAGAAGGTCCCGAGATGCAGACAGGAGTGGGAAGACTGGATGGGAAGGCACAGGAGTTGGGCTGACGCTGCTAGGAGTGACAAAGGCACAGACGATGGAATGAAGATGGGGTCACTAGGGGGCTGCCAGGAGCAGCCAGTGGACAAACTGCAGACTATGAGAGACAGATGGTGATGGGGCTGGGTGGCTGGTGTAGTGAGTGCACGAAAGACAGTGGGATGGATGGGGATGGGACACGGAGAAGATAAATGACATTGTAATTTCCACCTGAGCGTCGAGCAGCCTCTTCTTGGGTTCTGGCAGCGGCTCAGCCATGGCGGGGTGGTCCCGGCGCAGCTCCTCCTCCACCAGCATCAGCCTGAAGGGACGGGCTTCAGTGGGGTTAGTGGCGGGCACAGGCTCAGAGCCTGCCCATGGAACCCCACAGCTCTCTGGAAAAGCCTCAGGCATCCTTATCCCTTAGAATCAGAATCCCTCCATTGCCATGACACAAGACTCCCTGTTACTCAGGATCATGCTCTCCACCTTCCTCCCAGGAACCCTTACACCTCCCTGCTAAGGCAGCTTTCTGTGCCTCAAAGACTTCTACCATCCAGACACCTCCAGGCCTCCATCTTCCCAATCAGGACAGTAGTGCCCCTTCCCCAGACCTTCCATGGCTGAGGACCTGGCTTCTGCATCCCCCATGTCACCTCACTGTGAAGATCCTCAAAGTGATTTCTCATAAAGGATATTAATTAGAGCAGTGGTTTTAAAAAAATATTTCAAGAAGTCCTTTTCTTCTAATTAAATCTTACATAAAATACATTTAGAATGGATCAAAATAGAGGTGGCTCTGGTTGGAGTGGGGCCCAGGGGCACCCCCCTCCCCGCAACCCCACCACTCTGAAGGTAATTGACCTCTTTGCTGAGGATACCCTCTTTGGAGCCCAGGGCTTGCTGGAGCAGCTGAAAACATACACAGGCTAAAAGACCCTTTCTACAGAACACCTTTCCAAGGCTAGAGAGGGAGGGTCTGCCCAGGATGGGCAGGGGCTACTCTGGCTAGGGAGCCCTGCTTAGGTTTGGGGTGAACATCACAGGTTAAGTTGAGAATAACCAGTGGGGAGTCCTGGCCTAGGGTGAATGCAAATGCAGTGATGGTTGGACAGGAACAGGTACATTTTCCAAGGGCTTCTGAAGCTACTCTATCAGAAGAGAGGTCAGGGTTTAGTAAAGGGATATTTAATGCACTAAGCAGGTTGCGGTTTCTCTCCATCTGGTGATAGTGGGTGGGTGGCTTCCCGGGGAGGAGAGTGGTGGGCTCTCCTGGTGGGCTCCTGAGTTTGGGATGGGAGTCAGTAGTCGCTCGCCCACTTGCTTTCTTCAGCCTCAAGCTCTCCCTCACAACCCCTCCCCAGGCCGCCCCTCACCTGCCAATGATGCTCTTGATCTGCGAATCTTTCTCTGCCTGCTGCTGCCTTAGCCTCTTCTCACTCTGCTCCAGTCGGGCCTGATACTGCATCAGGATTTTGCTGGTCTGTTCTTCCTGGGACAGCAGCCTCCGCTCATACTCTTCTAGCTTCCGGTTGGACATGTGCAGCCGCTCTTTCAGTGAGTGAATCTCCTCCTCGTACTCCTTCACCTGCCCGCCGGGCACATGACCCCGCACTGTGAGGGGCGCCCCACCCCAAGCCCACCACCCAGCCTCCATCCCTGTCTGCTGAGCACAGCCACTGCATGGTAAGGGACATCCAGCTGCCTTCCCCAACCCCTTCCCTGCCTGTGGATCATATCCACACACCTGCTTTTGAGAAGAACCTGCCATGGTGCTGAGGCTCCCTCAAAATAGAGCAAGGTCACAGACTCCCACACCCTAAGGTCTATGTATGGCACTTCATGAAGACCCACACAGAAACCTAGACTCACAAGCACAGCTTGAGTAACTGTGCTCAGAAATTAAAAATACGGTGACTCTTCAGCCCTAAGCCAGGCCCCAGAACACATGCTGGAGACACAGGAAGAAAAGGCAATTGATGGGGGAAAGGCAGGTGTTGTCCTCCATGTGACCCTCTCCTTGACTCTGTCAAGGAGCCAAGGATAGGGGGTCTACAAATGAATTCTAGACTGAGAATCTAGGAATTCCAGAGCTGGAAGAGTTCAGAAGAGTCATTTTATCTGCCCTATTGGCTCTAGAGTTTACAGCTGTGCTGTCTAATGTAAGAGCCACCAGCCCACATGTAGTTATTTAAAATTTAGGCCAGGCACGGTGGCTCAACACTTGGAATCCCAGCACTTTGGGAGGCTGAAGCATGTAGATTACTTGAGCTCACAAGTTCTAGACCAGCCTGGGCAACATGGCAAAACCCCGTCTCTACAAAAAAAAGAAAAAAAAGAAAGAAAAGAAAAAAAAGAAAAACCAGCCGGGCATGGTAGCACGACCCTGTAGTCCTAGCTACTCAGGGGGCTGAGGTGGGAGGATGCCTTGAGCCCAGGAGGCAGAGGTTGCAGCAAGCCACATTTGCACCACTGCACTCCAGCCTGGGTGACAGAGCAAAACCCTGTCTAAAAAAAATTACAAAATTAAAATTAAATAGAGCTAAAAATTCAGTTCCTGAATCACAACTAGCCACATGTGAACAGTACAGATTACAGAACATTTCATCGCTGCAGAAAGTTATATTGGATAGTGCTAGTCTACAGCCTTTCTCAACAAGGTTTCCTCATCTGAAGCACAGAACAGAAAAAAAATGATTCAAAAGACTATTTCCTCATTCTCTGAAGAGGATACAGACATGTATCACCAACCCTTCTACATGCAGAGGAGAGATGTGAATTAACTTCCTACGGTGGCTGCGTTTGGGCTAATATTAGGGCTTAATTCTCATTAAATTTGCTGGTCAAGCCCATTTGAGTCAGTCCCCACATTTCCTATGCTCAAAAACCACTTCCCCATGTTAGGGTCATATGTTGTTTACATATGATCTAATCCTGCAGCCACCCTCTTCCTTAGGCCCTAGGAGCAACAGCTTCCTCAAGTAACTTTCTGCTAAGTTATCTGTGTGTGCCCCAGAGCTCTTGGTGCCCCTTGCCCTCAGCCTCCACCAAGTGAGGGTCCGGATGGCCTTTTCACACATGACCAATACATACTACTTTACCACATGCATCCTCTGCCCACTGAGTAACTTATGCCCATGGGACAGTGACTGGGTAGGCCAGACATCACTTGTAATATAACTGCATCCCCCTCCATCCCCACCCAATTTATTAGCTCCTACTGCCAGTAAAGTAACATTTCCTTTCCTAAGCAGTCACAGGAGCCAGGGCTTATGTTCCTCCTGGGGAAGAATATGGAGGTAAGCCTAAAATAGATGATCCCCAGATAGTCTACGATATATATAACCTACAAAATAGAGTTGAAAGTGACTTTTAACAACTGTGTGTATCTGGTCTCCCCAGATGGACTGAAGGCTTCTCAAGAGGTAATCACGTCTTTGCCTTTTCTTTCTACCATAACTACCTGACCCTGGAGGTTTCCCTTGGAAGTGACTAGAGATCTCCCCTGTGGGTAAAAGGAAACATTGGGGCTTGGAGCTGGTAGAGCCCACCGTACCCTATCCAGCCGGCTCTCATCCATCGATTTTGAGTACTCCTTGAGCTTGTACTCTTCCCGCTCGATGTGGGCACTCTCGATGTCAGCCGACAGGTGAGGCATATTGGAGACCCAGGCCACTGTCCGCTCAGAGGCTGGCATTGTGGGGTTCAATGTGGACGGTGTCTGAGAATGCTGGGACAAGGCACAGTGAGGGCGAACAGAGAAAGGAAAGGTAGGAAAAAGCAGGGTACATTTAGAGGGCAACAGCACAGCCAAAGGAGATGACAGTCCCAGTCCTATTGCCCTGCTGTAGCCTTTATCACCTCTGAATGCCAGAGATGTGAGTTGAATGCCAGAGAATTTCTCCTGTTACTGTTCTGATTCAGGATCTGATTTTTATGCCTCCAAGCCCCCAACTGGCCCTATTCCAGTCACCCCCACGCTACTTATGGATTAATCCCCTCTGGAATGAGAGTGCTAAGAGGGTTCAGTGCCATATCCTTAGTGCCTGGCATAGCACATGGCACATAGCAGGCCCTCTATACACATTTAATGGCCAAAAGGAAGCAAGAAGATTGTAACTTCAGGCCACAGACTCTGTTCCAACCCCACCCCTCCAATCTCCTTCTTCCCTCCCTGTCGTGACCCAGCCCGCCTTCCTCCTGCCTTCACCTACCTGCTTGGTGATGGAGGGCTTCAGCCCCCCACCCCCTCCGCCACCGCTGCCCCCGCTGCCCCCAATGCTGCCCTCCTTGCTGAGGCTCTGTTGCCGTGGACGGGCGGGGCCATAACTTGGCTCTGGGGACTGCAATAGATTCCCGCTGGATGGCCGGGGTTTCTGGGCTGCGCTGACTGTCAACTGCTGAGACTTGCCCCTCTGCAATGGAGGTGGCTGGCCCCCGCCACCCCCACCGCTGCCCCCACCACTCCCACCTCCAGGCCCTGAGGGGGCTGGCCTCTGGGGACCAATGGTGATCTGGGGAGGGGACAGCATGTGCTGCAGGTTGTCCTGGAGTGAAAGCTGCCGACGGGTGAAGTCAGTGCCAGAGGGTCCAAACTCATCACTGTAGCTGTGGCTATGAAGGATGGAGGCAGCAGGGGGCTTGGGGACCCCGGAAGAGAGGTCCTCACTCTTGCTATAGCCATGGAATGGGGCAAAGGTGTCCCCAGGGGGCTCTCCACCTCGGTGGTGGTGATGGTGGTGGTGGTGGTGATGGGAGGAAGGTGGGCCATGGCCACCGCCCCCGCCATGGCCGCCTGGGGGACCTGGCCCATCAGCAGCCATGTGGAAGAGAGGGTTCTGGAAGGAGAGGGGTATTCGCAGTTGCTGGGCAGGGACACCGTCTGTGGTGACACCCATCTGGCTGAGGCGCATGCCAGCTGCCGTGATGGATGAGCCACTCCCCTGGGAGAGGCGTCCAGCAGGCGCAGGCCGTAGCCCCAAGGCTGCTGTCAGCGAGGCCTGGCTTGAGTGCAGCAGGTCCCCTACGGCTGCCAGGTTCGAAACACTGCTGCTGTTGAGGCGGCCACCAGGCCCATCGCCCTGTAAGTCCAGCATGGACACACTCTTGTTGACACTCAGCATCTTCTGCTCTGGCTCTGTGATGTCCGAGCTGCTCGTGCAGTATGCTGGTGAGGAACGGGCCAGGGGTGGACGGCTTACATAGAACAGGTCTTTACCCCCACCAGGAGGTGGTGGGGGTGGCTTTTCCTTGGTTGGGGAGGGGAGGCGAGCCATGTCCATAGAGCTGTCAGAAAGGAAGGGGGCACACAAGCAGAAGGTAAGGTTGGGGCTCCTAGCAATTGAGCCTTGCTGTGGTCTGGCATAGGCCTTGGGGTGAAAAGTGGGACCCAGAGGGAAGGGCTGAGAGCTAGCAGTGGCAGCCCTGAAGAGGGAAGGCAGGGAGGATGGGAGGGGACAGGTGGGTAAAGGGAAAGGACAGGGCCCCTCCAGGAAGGGGGTGAGGCCTAGAGGAGGGGAGATGGGGGCAGCAAGAGAAGGAATGGGGACAGGGCTGGGCAGATATGGAGGAGATGAGGTCCATGGAGGAGGAGAGGAGTAGGGCGAAGGCCAGTGGAGCAGGAGAGGGAACAGACAGGAGAGGAGAGGAGGGCGGGGGAGGGGAGAGCCCCTCACCTGTTGAGGCCTCGAGCCATGAAGGACTGAAGGTCGATGGAGCTGGAGAGAGATGGAAAGAGGGGCGAGCACAGACAGAGAAGGAGAAAGATGTGGACAAATGAAAGGAGAGGCGGGAATGGTGGCATGGGTATGGTGTCATGGAGGAAGACACGGGCAGAGGAACAAGCAGGGCCATCATCAAAATAATGAGCAGCAAATGAGGCACGGGCACCACCCATGGGAATTGAGGCTGGGACTCTGGAGCAGGCTGCAGGCCCTACTAGGCTTCTGCTGCCACTGCTCTAAGTGCTGGATCATGGGGAGGTCTGTGAGGTTTTGGTTGGGGGCTAGGGGAAGTGCTTATTCACTAGCTATTACTGAGATGTTTGAATATTTTGACACATAGCTGACATGACGTGCTGGCTGAACCTCAGCCTGGGGATAAGCATAGGCAAGCAGAGGGACAGCAAATCAGAGCTTGCAGCAGGGATGCTCTAGGCTTACAACTAAGCCGTGAGTTGGTGGAGCCTCAGCCCTCTTCCTAAAGCTCCACATCTCTCACTCCCTCAGGCTGTAAAGGGCTCTCAGCCTACCACTGACTGTACCTGTCTCCTTACCAGTCTTCCCTGAGAACTTGGTGCTTTTTCCTTTTTTTCAAGCCCTAGAGAGATGCGTGTGGGGCCCAATGAGGAGTATCTAGAACAGGAGAAGGGCTCCTAGGGCATAGGCCTGGCTGTCCCAGGGTGCTCACCTGTTGAGGTCCCGCATCATGTAGCCCTGCATCTCAGCCGATGGCCCCCGCAGTACCACGGGCTGAGGCCGGGGCCGCTCACTCTGGCGGCTTGGCTGCCTTTGGATGTTGGGGTTCCTCAGAGCTGTGCTGATGTCATTGAGGAGCCGGGGCAGTGGGCCCAGCTTCAGGAGGGCTTCCTGGAAGGGTGAAGCTGTTACCTGGGGGCTCAGTGCCCAGCTCTAAGAGGGCCTCTGAGGGTACAGGTGGAGGGGGTCTGAGCTGGGATGGTAGTGGTGACACCTCAGGGAACAAGGGGAGAAAAAAAATCTTCAAAGGGTAGTTTCTTAGGCTCCAGGAACCTCTGGAGTCATCTGGGGATAGGGCAAAGAGGGTATCTGCTGACCTTGCTGAGCTGGGGCAGCACCTCCCAGAGCAGGGCATGCAGTGTAGAGAGCTCGCGGCCCAAGTCGATGTAACCCTCAAAGCTACTGCTGTTGGTTAGCGTGTCCAGGTTGGAGATCTCATACAAGAACTGCTGCATGGAACCCCATTCCAGCTCCAGAAACTCATTCATGAAGCCCAGAAAGTCCTCCTTTGAGGTAAACCTAGCCAAGAATCCAGAAGATAAAGGTCACAGACACACACACACACAGAGAAGGTGTCATAGCCTCCCCATCTCAGGATCTCTGGGGACTCAGGAGACCCTTCTTGCCCACCCCCAGCCCTGCCACGCCCTGCCCTGCCCCCTCCTGAAGCTTCCCTCACTTGGAAAAGTTGGCCAGGTTCTGGATGACCTTGGCAATGAGGGTGAGGGTGCGTGAGGTCTGCTCATCTGGGTACTCCTGCATAAGCCCAAAGAGACTGGGCGACATAATCGCTGGGCAGAGGAAGCGCAGGAAGAGCGAGGCGCTGATAAGCCTGTCTGCGATGTCCTCCCGGCCTCGCTCTGCGCAGCGCAGCCGCCACGAAGCAAACACCTCCTTCAGCTCCCTCGGGAACACGCTGGGGGGAAGGGGCGGGGAGACAGAGAGAGAGAGAGAGAAAGAGAGAGACCGGGACTGAGCCCCAGAGACCCTCAGCTTCCAGGGAACATGCTGAGGGGGGTGGTAGGAGGTGAGGGTGTGGAAACAGAGGTGAGAGAGACAGGGAAGGAGGGACCGCAGGAGCAAGATGGGAGGCTGCTTGAAGAAGGGGGCCATGGCAGAGGGAACAGACAGATTAGGGAGAGAGAAATGGAGGGGGAGAGAAGGTGAGGGGAGAGACACGTGGGAGAGAGATGGAGGGGTGTGGGAGAGAGACAAGGAGAGGAGGAGAAGAAAAACAGACACCAGGGAGAGACAGAGATGGGAGAGAGATGGAGGGTCACTTGAGGTACAGGGAGCTCGGACCCCCCAACTCTTCTGGATTCCAGGGAAATGGGGATGGAGGTGCCCCAGGCATGATCCCCAGTCCCTGGAATGGCTCAGAGCTCACTCCCCCCACCTCCCAGATCCACTTCAATGTCCCACTGACACCTTAAACTCGACTGGTGTAAAGCAGAGCTCACCACCGCCCCCACACCTCCAACTGGCTCCTCCTCCTGACTTTCCTGGTTGTCAATGAGGCCACAGGTCTCCCAATCACCAGCCTCATGGCCTCTTGAGTCATCCGTGACTCCCCACAGATATGCTCCCTCTTTTCCAATAAGCTGACAATTCCTACTGATCCTTTCCTCAGAGGGTCCTTCCAGTAGTTCCTTCCTAACTCTGTCACTGTTCTGATTCAGGATCTGACTTTCATGCCTCCCAACCCCCAGCTGGCTCTACTCCAGTCATCCCCCCACATACACCCCTCTATTCTATTACATATAGTCTACTTATGGATTAATCTTTTTTTTTTTTTTTTTTGAGACAGAGTTTCACTCTTGTTGCCCAAGCTGGAGTGCAATGGCGTGATCTTGGCTCACTGCAACCTCCGCCTCCTGGGTTCAATCGATTCTCCTGCCTTAGCCTCCCAAGTAGATGGGATTATAGGCATGCACCACCACATCCAGCTAATTTTATATTTTTAGTAGAGACAGCGTTTCTCCATGTTGGTCAGGCTGGTCTTGAACTCCTGACCTCAAGTGGTCTGCCCACCTCGGCCTCCCAAAGTGCTGGGATTACAGGCATGAGCCACCGTGCCCAGCCTATGGATTAATCTTCTAAATCACAATACTTCTGATACCTTTAATGGCATCCCAAGGCCTACCAATGACCTCAGACTCCTTGAGGCCTTCCAGTTTCTAAAGCTAATCTTCCTGCCCAGACATCTCTCCCACCACTCCCCATCATGAGGCACATGCTCCACTAAACCTGATGTAATTGCTACTAAGCTACTCTAATGTCCCCTGATAACTCCTGGGCCTTTTCACCATCACACATGTGCCTTTCTCACAGCCTTCTTCTGAAATGTCTTTCTTGCCAACTATGTCCACATATCAGAACCTAAACCAGTCTTCAAAGCCTACCCAATGGGGCACCTCTTCCCCGCTTATCTCAATTAAAGCTCTGCCTTCTCTCTGACCTTCTATCACACAGAGGTGGGGGGACCCTTACTCAGAACTTACACACCATTATGACTCTGTGGCTTTTTTTTTTCTAATTTGTCCCCACTCATTCTGCTGGAGGCCCTCTGAGGGCAGGGACCAGGCCTCTTTCACCTGTTTGCTCTATAGTGCCTAGAACAATGCTTTGCCCATAAATGGTTCTCAGTCCTCTTTGAGGATGGACAGATAGATGAACAGATGAACACATAATTCCCCCGACCCTGGCCCCCCAGCCCAGCGTTCCCAGTCTCACCAGTGGGAGTTGACCACCTTGCACAGGGCCAACTCACAGCACATTCGCAGGTTGGCCTGGTGCTCTGCCAAACTGGACGCTGTGCACTTGATAGGGTCTACCTCGCAGTTTTCCTCAGACTCATACAGAGCACGGATGAACTCTCCTGGGGGGTGGCGGCACAAGAGGGTGTGGTCACACTTTTCAAGGGCAGGGAAGGGGGTGGCCAGGGTTGGGGAAATTTTAGAATCAGGTGTTGGAGGCTGGAGTCCTAGGACTCTGGGTTAGGAAGTATCAAGCTGTGGAAGGGTGGACTTGGGATCTGGGGTGGACATCTGGCAGGTTTGGGAAGAAGAGGGCCTAAGTGTGGGCCATACCAATGGCATCCTTGAGGTATTTCTGACCAATCAGTCTCATATACTCTTCTATGGCTTTAGTGGCGAGCGTGTTCTCGCGGAATATGAGGTGCTCCCGTTCCATGAACCGGTCTACCTCAGACATGGCCATGTCTGAAAGGAAGTCCTGAGGCCCAGGAAAATCCAAGTGTCAGCCTCTGCACAACCCAATCTCGTGAATTTGCCCTGTCCTCACTAACCCCCAAGCAAGTGCCTATTCCCAAGTCACCTTTCCCTGAGGGCACAACACTCACCTTGGCCTTGCCTGTACTCTGCAGGATGTGAACTAGTGCACTGGCAACCTCCTCCTTGCCTTTGACATTCAGGGCAGGCTCCAAGACTGCACACAGCATCCGATAATGGTTGGTGACATACTCTGCAAACTCTTTATATAGCTCCATGGGCAAGATGCTCATTGTCTGGTAACGTGCTTTCAGCCGCACAGCCGGGCAACCTCCTTTGCCCTTGCCCCCTGAGCCGCCCCCCGAACCTCCTCCCCCTCCCGAGCCCATGCCCCCAGATCCCCCACTGCCTGTTGGCAGGGTTACAGGGTACCACTGCTCTGTGAAGTGGCGCCCAGCCAGGGTGGCCACCGGCACAGTCACCAGGCCGACATAGCCCGCCTTGTCCTTCTTGCGCTTTTTGTCTGAGTCACGGTACAGATGCAGCCGCAGGGCACGGACAGCCGGCAGGTTGTTAAACTCGAAGTGCTCGCCCCAGAAGACGGTGTCCCCTGAGGCAGAGCGGGGCTTGGAGGTGGTGCGTGCATACAGCATGTCATCCAGGCAGAGCTCGCAGTAGTACCGCTTCTTGGGGGGCAGCTCTCGGGCCTCTATGATCCACAGCTTTAGCACATTGTCTACCCGGCGGCTGTTGTCCTGGCATGGTGGGGTGGGCACGATGTTAAAGGGGGAAGGGACAGAGAGACACCAAAAGAGGAGAGACAGTAAGAAAGTGGGATACAGACAGCAATCATAGGTGAGACGGTGTACTGGGTTGAACAGTATCCCACCAAAACTCATGTCTACCCTGAACCTGTGAATGTGATCTTATTCGGAAACAGGATCCCTGCAAATGTAATCAAATTAAGAAGAGGCCAGGCACGGTATCTTATTCCTGTAATCCCAGCACTTTGGGAGGCTGAGGTGGTGGATCGCCTGAGGTCAGGAGTTCGAGCCAGCCTGGCCAACATAGTGAAACCCTGTCTCTAATAAAAATACCAAAAAAATTAGCTGGGCATAGTGGCACGTGCCTGTAATCCCAGCTACTCGGGAGGCTGAGGTAGGAGAATCACTTGAACCTGGGAGGCGGAGGTTGCAGTGAGCTGAGCTCATGCCATTGCACTCCAGCCTGGGAAACAAGAGCGAAATTCCATCTCAAAAAAAAAAAAAGGCCATACTGAATTAGAGTTGACTCTTAATCCACCTTATAAAAATTGATGTCTTTATATGGAGAGGGAGATTTGGAGACACAGAGATACAGGATACAGAGACACACAAAAGGAAGCCAGCTACATGAAGATGGAGGCAGAAATTAGACATATGCAGTTACAAGCCCAGGAATGCCAAGGACTGCTGGCAACCTCCAGAAGCTAGGAAGAGGCAAGGAAGGATTCCCTGCTACAGCATCAAAAGGAGCATGGCCCTGCTGATACCTTGCTTTTGGACTTCCAGTCTCCTGAACTGTGTGAAAGAATAAATTTCTGTTGTTTAATGTGACCAAGTTTGTAGCAGTTTGTTATAGCAGCCCCAGGAAACTACTCTAGAAGTGTAGTTCATACACTAGACAACACAAACAGTATTGGAAAGAGTTTTAAAGCTGGAATAACAAGCCAAAAATAGTAATGTAGAATTTAAAGGGAACTGGAAAGTCCTGCAGAGACTATCAGAAATTGTGAAAAAAGAATTGTATATAGAATGGGTAAAGCTTGGCCAGGTGTGGTGGCTTATGCCTGTAATCCTAGCACTTTGGGTGGCTGAGGCAGGCAGACAACTTGAGGTCAGGAGTTTGAGACTAGCCTGGCCAACATGGTGAAATCTTGTCTCTGCTAAAAATACAAAAATTAGTCCGGTGTGGTGGTGCATGCCTGTAATCCCAGCTACTGGGGAGGCTGAGGCACAGGTATTGCTTAAACCTGGGAGGCAGAGGTTGTAGTGAGCCAAGATCACACCACTGCACTCCAGCCTGGGTGACAGAGTAAGACTCAGTCTCAAAAAAAAAAAAAAAGAATGAATAAGGCTTGACAGTTGGTATAAGGGCCTGGGGGGATACAATTGAGCACAAGCTAATGGGAAGGCTCAGGTGATATTGCAGTGTGTGGAAAAAGAACATGGTGTTTGTACTCTGCATAGGTCAGATCATGTCAGCATCTTGGGTTGAGTTCTTTAAGGACATCAAGACACAAGAGTTCCCCCCAGAGGAGGGTGACTACGACTGTAAGCTTGCTAGAAACTGGGATACAGAGAATAGCTGACAGAACTGAAAGCATGAAGTTTTGGGAAGAACACAGACTCATAGAATTTATGTGCCAAAGGGAACTTAGAGATCATTTAATCCAACCCTAAGACAGTTCCCTCTGTCTTAGAGAGGAAACCAAGGTACAGAGACTTGGCTAAGTGTATTTTATGTGTCCTGCGGGGTTTTAGTGAAGCATTCCTGCCTGCAGGGAAGCTAGACTAAAGGATTTCCAGAGCCCCGTCAACTCTGTAAGTCTACGACTTATATGGCAGGGAAAGAGATCGTAAGGCAGGGTAGCAGTACAGAAAGTACAGAAAGAGAAAAGAAATGGGGGACTCAGAATAATGGGGGTCTCCCCCTTCTTGTCCAGGTACCCTGTACTTCAATCCTCTCCTTCTCCAAGCCTCTCCTCCTTTAACTCACTTTCCTCCCTAGGCCCCCAACTTTCCATGTTGGCACAACCTTTGCCCTGCACAGGTTATGTCCCCTTTATTCCCCAATACCTTGTTGGGCTTTACTGCCCGCTGCAGATTCTCAATCCATTTGTCTCTTTCGGCTGCAGACCGACAGGCAAAGCATTTTGTTCCTGATGAAGTTGTTACCTAGAAAGGAGTGTGGAGTTGAGGGAAAGGGCTACAGAGGGAAGGAGACTCTGCTACTTCCTCTTCCTCCCTGGCCTATCCTCCTTTCTTCCAGTCCCAGAAGTTTGTTTCCTTGATGTCCCCACCTGTGCCACTTTCTCTAGACCTCTCTGCCCCCCACCTTCCATTGCCCCTTTCCTTTGGCCCTCCCCAGCCCACTAGACCCAGTACCTCAAAACAGAACTCCTGGCCCAGGATGGAGCTGTGCACTGGCTTGATAATGGAATCTTCATCCAAGTTGAGCTCCAATGCCTCAGCTGCACTGCTAGGACTCAGCAAGGACTCATGAGAGTGCGACTCCTTAAAGCTTTGCATCAGCCGGGCCCTGGCAAGCAGGAGGTTCAGGAGAGGAGGGGATCAGGGCCCCCCACTCTTTTTTTTTTTTTTTTTTTTGAGACAGCGTCTTGCTCTGTTGCCCAGGCTGGAGTACAGTGGTGTGATCTCGGGTCGCTGCAATTTCTGCCTTCTAGGCTCAAGCGATTCTCCTGCCTCAGTACACCCAGCTAATTGTTTTTCTTTTTCTTTCTTTTTTTTTTTTTTCGTATTTTTAGTTGAGACACGATTTCACCCTGTTGGTCAGGCTGGTCTTAAACTCCTGACCTCACGTGATTCAGCCTTCCAAAGTGCTGGGATTACAGGCATGAGCCACCACGCCCGGCCCCACTACTCTTCTTAGACACATAGGGATCCTGCACCATCAGTCTGTTCCAGGATGGAGCCTTGGAGAGAAGGCCCCCTGAACACCCTTCCCAGACAGGCACTGAAAGAAACCCTGCCTATCTCAGGAAGGACATGAGGGATGTGAGAGAAATGAGAATCCTTTAAGGAACTCCCCTGCTCCAGCTGGGCCTGGTGGCTCACGCCTGTAATCCCAACACTTTCAAAGGCCGAGGTGGGAGGGTCACTTGAGCCCAGAAGTTCGAGACCAGTCTGGGCAACACAGTGAGACCCTATCTCTATTTTTAAAAAAAGGAAAAAAAAAAAGAAACTCCAACCATCTCACACCTAAGGGATTGTGAGGACTGGGGATACCTAGAAATATCTCAACCCAGAAATGGACCATGGCAGAAAAGAAAAAAAAAAGGAGAGAACAAAGTGGGCCTGGGGCACTTCTAGGTAGTACCTCCAGGTAACCCCAGAAACCAGAGCCTCAGTATAAAGGAAAAAGTGGAAGTAAAGAAGTGAAGGCACAGAGAAGAGATATGTCTAGCCTGGGCCTGGCACACGGCTAGTGCCTAATAAACATTTAATGATTCAAAGAATGAATGAACATAGCATAAGAGGACAAGTTTTAGCAGAACCAGGGGAAAGAGTGAGGGAAAAGCATATGAAATAGGAGAAAGCTGAGGGCAAAAAAGAGCTGAATGAGGATAAAAGACAGAATATGGGGACTAGGGAAGAAGAGAAGGTAGGGCAAGGAGAAAGGGGAAGACAAAGGTATGTGCAGCAAGACAGAGGACAGGAGAAGAGGAGGAGGGCCAACTGGAGAGGTGGCCAGGAGAACCGAGGTGGGGGCTAAGAGGGGATGGAATGCAAAAAAATCACTGCAGGAGGGCAGAAGATAAAGGGGACTGGGGGCATGGAATAATGAGGGGTAGGACAGCAAGCGGTATGGAGATGGGCAGGGGATGAAGAGTAGAGAGCAGTGGGAAAGCGGGAGGGGAGCTCGGGTGTGGGAGCCTCCAAGAAGTTATTTATAGCAGCCCCGTCATCGCAGGCTCTGGCTGCCGTCAGCGCGACGCTCCCCCGGCCCCCGGCCCCCCCGCCCCCGCGGCCAGGAATACCATGCCCTCACCCCCTGCCGGCCCCAAATCCAGCTCTGGCAACATGGGAGGGGGGGCAGGGAAAGGTGTAACTCACTTTATCCCAACCTCCCTACCTGCCCAATCCTGTGGGTGGCCAGACGTGGTGGAAAGGGAGGGCATGGTTCTCCCTAGGGAGTGACTGGGTGAGGGGGAAACCCAGATAGGAACCCCAAATGGCAGGCAACAAAGGCAAACAGTGGAGGTCTCCTTCAGCCTGGCCTCAGGGCCACTGCCTTCTGGACGTCTCTACAAGCCCTTCTTCATGCCTCAGTCCATGGATTGCTACCCATTCTGTCACCCTGCACACCTGTCCCAGCCTCCCCTTCTCTGCCATGCTCTATACTGTCTCTTTCTTCACTGATGAGGTCCTTGAGCCCTAGCCATCATCCATTCATTCAGCCACCCCCAGCCCCGCTCCAACCTGCTGCCCTGTATTTCCTGACCTTCCCTGACACCCTTCCACCTAGAGCCTACTGCTCACTGACCTACCAACCCCTTCCCTGCATTCCTTAAACGCTCCTCCAGGGTCACTCTCCTCCTGTACAGCTCCTTTGATCCTGGGCTAGAGCCCATCCTTCTTGGCCTGAGTAGTCCCTGAGGAGTCACTCCTTGGCTTCACCTTCATTCCCTTTCCAGCCTCTCTGTCTGTCTTCCCTCTGCCACCCTACCCCTCTCCTGCTGCTCACAGATCCCTATTCTAGTTATTTTCTGTTCTGTCCCCTGCCCCGTGACATCCCCCAACCAACTTGAGTTGAATCCTTCAACCTTTGCACACAGATAACCCCCTCCCTCTGCATCTCACACAAGAGACCCTACATTACATCGATCTCATCCCACATGCTCCAGCCCCTGTACCGGTCATGGTCAGCACTTCGGAAGCGAGGCAGGATCTGGCGAAAGCTGCTGGTCCGGTCAAGTTTGGGTTGTGACTTCGTTCGTTTGATGGAGCTTTTTAGCCGTCGGCTCAGGAAGCCTTGCTGGGGGGGAAATGGGGATGGGGTGGGTTGGGGCAGGGTCAGTTCTACCTACTCATCCCTCAGCTGGTAGATAGTCCCTGGATGAAAGTGGGATGGGGAAAAGGGAAGTCTCCAGAGGCAAGGAAAGGGGGATAGGAACCCTAATACCAGTTTGTCTTCCTTGCTCCCACAGGTACAGTGCAAGCACGCGTGCACACACACACACACACACACACACACACACACAGCTTGGAGAAAGTGGGAGGGCTGGTCTCAGAAGCAGAGGGGCAGAGCCAAGAAGGGGGAAACCAAAGAGGTGGGGAGACACACACACACACACACACACACACACACACACACTTTTCCTCAATCTCACTCCCTCTTTCCCCCTCCTGCCCTCTTTCTCAGACTCCTAGGGCCCGAGTTGGGGCTGGAGGGGAGGGGGTCCAGCTGAGCCACATCTGGTAGGCACCACTCACCGAGGGCCGGAAGGGCGCAGCAGGGGCGCCCTCCATGCTGTACTGCTTCCCCCCTGGGACACTCTTCCTCCTCGAGCGACCCAAGTGGTATTCTGGAGGGGAGAAAAGGGCCAGAAGGGAAGTTGGGGAGGGGGCCAGGAGGGAAGCTGTTAACCCAGGTTCCCACCCCTGACCCCAGTGCATGCCCCCACCTCCCTCTGCCCTTCAGCTCCGGCCTCACCTACCCCCCGGAAAGCAGCAGGAAGAGCAGCGACGGCGGAGAGGCTGGCAGCGGGAAGGAGGGGGCAAGGAACCTGAGCAGGAGCCCCCTGAGGGGGATGGGGTGGGAGGCCTTAGGCCCATGACTGGGGCTAGCAGTCAGCAGGGGGGCATGGCTGAGAGGGTCAGTAAAACCCCAGTAATGAAGGACACCAAAGATCGAGGGAGGCTAGGTCCCTGGTGCCCACCCACCCCAGAAGGGGCCAGCTGGGGGGAAAGATGGGTTAAAGGTCATTGCCCATAGGCAGGCTTTCCTCTTCCCCCTGCTGGACACATCTTCCATCTGCCCCCCACCTCCTGGAACCCCTGTCTGTCTGGAGGGCCAGGGCTGCCTCCCATGACCCCCTCCCTGGACTGGAGGGGGAGGTCTTGGAAGAGACCTGTGAAGAGTAGCAGGGGAAGAAGCCGGGGACAGAAAATCCAAGGAAGGGGCAGGTGGGGGGAGGGGAGAAGGAGCCGGTTCCACGTGCACTGCAGTGGCAGGGGCTCAGAAGGTGGGGGAGGGGAAAAGCAAAGAATGCAGGGGAGTGGGCAGGGAACAGGAAGGATGGGCAGTGGGGGTTCTGGGGACTCCCAAGTAAGGGCAGGGAGAGGAGGAGGAGGGGAGGTGAATGCGGATGCAGCTCAGCCTGCCAAGAGCCTAGAGGGATGGCAAGCTCTGAAAAAGGAAGCTGAGGCTCGGCTACAAGGGAATTTAGAGGGGCTGAGAGGCTGGAAGAGAATGTAAGTGGGGGGATGCCAAGCTCCGGCTCCAGCTCCAGAATGGCTGCCCAGGCCTGGGCTCCCCCCTCAGCCCCAGTCACCACTGCAGCCAATGGGGGGGCAGGTGCTGCATCAGGGGCGGGGCCAGCATCTCCACGGCAACAAGAAGCTACAGGCTGGAAGGAGGGGGGTGGACCGGAAGAGCTGCCTGTTAACCCTCTAGGTTCCAGAACAGAACAAGGGAGGACCACAATTATATTTTCACTGTCTGCTTCCAGAATTGCAAATTGCCTGCAAACTGCCCTAGAATCAGTCCCCAGCTCCCCTTTACCTGTAAAACCCAGGTGGTGGACCCCATGACACGAGAACCCTATCACTCCCTCAGGAACAGGTGTATAGTACAGAAACATACACTGAGCTGTAGTGGTACGTGTATATGAGAACCACAATACAAAAAAATTACTGGGGATCTATGTGCTTTTGAGACATACAGACAACTGTGAGCACGGGCATAGCACGGATCCACATTCTGAGACCCTAAGGCCCACACACCCCACAGGATACATGCTTTGACATATGTGAGTACTACAACAAGGGAGTACATACTTGAACCCAGTTACCCACATGAGAGCTGCTCGTGTGGACTTTGTGGCCCAAGTCTCTTGGGCAATCATGTGGACAGCACACTACAGAAATGGACCCATAACCCTAAGATGCGCATATCCCCATGCAGGGGAATTCCAGTTTAACTCCTGAAATACATGCTTGAGTACACCATGATCCTGACCACAGAAAGGTATCCCCATATCTCAGAAGCACAAACATCCTTTCATTCACGTGAAAAGTACAACCATATCCGCTCTGTCTCAGGACAACCCCCTCTCCTCCCCCAGCCCTTCTCTCACTCTAACACAGGCATCCAAGATTGCCACCAGAGTAAAGAAAAACCAGGAGCAAATGTGTTAATTATCCTTCTGGCACACACTAAGCAGTGCATCCAATGGTTCAGGATATCTCTTCCCTAGTAACATTTTTCTGCATTTCTCAGGTATGGCTGCCTCACTCTCATTTCAGGGAACCGAGCTCAGCCATCATTTTCATGTGCAAGCTCATCTAATAAAGGCATAAAGTCTAACTTTAAATGCATTAAAATTCTGCTTTGGAACTAAAGCATTAACAGAAGAACAAATTTGCTAATTGGCTTGCTTGGTTCTTGGAAGTAATATAACCTTACACATATTATCAAGAATTAAGATCCATGAACTCACTCATAAGTCACAGGAACACAGAGGCCACATACACATACGCTTATTAAAGACTTTTGTTGCCGCAGGAAAAGAATAGCAGAAACACAGAGGAAAGGGGGACAGAGTGACAGAAACACTGAACATCCTGTTATTAGTGCTGCATGCAGTGACATGTACAGAGAAAATAACACACACCCGTGTATACACACACATAGCAAACCTGAAAAGCATAAACTGTGATCCTGGGTCTCCATGTCCCATGCCTGCACGATGTATACACGCATGCACACACATAACAGCCACCTACACAAACCCGTAACACAGGCATTGTGCACACACCCACACATGTACACACCCTGTGTACACACACAATGGCACTCACACACACACACAGAGCAAGGGCTTGGACTCCTGCCCCTCCAACATCTCTAATCTTGCCATCACCCACAGAATCTCCCCCTGCCCTCCAAATCCCTAACCTTTCCTTGGCCTTTCTTCCTCTCCACACCCAGCTGGCAGCTCTCAAGGGGAGCCAGGGGAGGGAGGTTGCCAGAGAAGGGCGAAGAACAGGGTTGGACACAGAGCAGAGAAATGGGAGACAGAGCTCTGTGCTGGGCATATGAACCTCTAATGACAGTCCCTGCCATGACAGGCCTCACTGTGAGCCAGCCCGTATGCCTGAGTGGCCTTCCCTGATCCAAAACCAAGCCTGATCCTACAAGGCCTACAAGAATCCAATGCCTTCTTCCATCTTCTTCCCTTTCTTCTTTCAGAGATGACTTTACCAGAAGGCCTGACTCTCTCCTCCCCACTGCCTTCCCAGCTCCCAGACCCCTTCTTTTCCCACTATCTCTATCCAGTTCCCCATCTTAAGCTCTTATCCCCTGTTCTCTCCTAAGTCTGGCTCGGCTTTCTCCCACATTCCCATTCTCCAGCTATTTCTCCCTGGCCTGCTCTCTGCTCTCTTCTTCAAGCCTCTCTCATTCCTTCGCTTCTATTCCCTCCCCACTTTTCCTCTTTACCCCATTTTTTCCCTTTTTGAGCTTTTCTGTCCCCACTTACTGACCAAGCAGGGCTTACACCTGCCCGGCCCAAAGGTGTTTCATACACAGTAGGATTCCAAGGAACACATTCACACACTCCCCCCCGCCACACCACCCACATCCAGACACGCCCTGGACACCCATGCTGGGACTGACACAGATACTCAGGCCAGTGCTGGAACACACATGCAAAGACACACACCTGCCACCAGGGACACAGAAAATCCTGCTCATAGGGCCACACATTCCCACACACAGAAGGCTGACAGGAGGTGAGCCCCAGCCAGGGATATGCATGCTCAGGGTCAGAGGTGACATGGACCAGCATGGCCACGAACTGCCCCACAAGCCCATGGCTGGCCCAACAGCCCCCTAGGCAGGAAACAGGCAGAGGCAGGATAAGACAGGACACACTTGCACAAGGCTGGCTGCACATGTGTGCACGAGGAACTGGGCCCCCGTGTGCACATGGTACCGACACACAGGAGACACGAGCATGGGCACGAACACACACGCGGACACACGGGCTGCCCCTTCCACCAGGGGCTCCAAGATCACACACACCAGCCGCCCCCGCGTGCTCAAGACCCTGTCCGCACGAGGCCGGTCCCCGACCCTCCCGACCTCCGCTGTCCCCCTCCAGTTACCATAACTCCCCCCACTCGGAAGATGCAGCGAGAACATGCGGAGGGAGCAGCTGCCGCCGCCGCCGCCGCCACCGCGGCTTCCCCACCCCCCTCCCCGCGCCCACGCACACGCGCGCCCCCGCCCCACGCGCGCGGCGGCCTCCCCCCCCACGCGCGCTCCTAGACCGCCTGGCCCCGCCCTTACCTCGCACCGCCCCCCCGAGGGGGGGTCAGGGGTGTCCCCGGTGGGGGAGGGGCCCCGCCCCTGCGCGGGGGAAGGGCGGGGTGCGGAGTGAGAGGGGGCGGTACGGCCCGGCTCGCGCCGCCCGGCGCGGTGAGGGCGGCGGCGGGGCCCGGGACGGCCGGGACGGCCGCGCGGTGACGGCCGCGGGAACGGCTCCCTCCGCCGCCGCTCCCGCCGCTGCCGCCGTTGCCCGGGCCCCGCCGCCGTTGCTAGGCGACCGCTGCTGCCGTGGCCGCCTCTGTCACGAGCCCCGTCGCCCGGAGACAGCGCGAGAGAGACGGGGGAGGGGGGCAAGGGGACCCCCAAAACAAACCAGGCCACCCACCATCCCCTCCTGAGCAGGACCCCCCCACACACACAAAACCGCGGAGAGAACGAGGGTTCGCGGCTCCACCCAGCAGAGGAGGAGCCCTGGATTCCAATGCCCCTCAAAGGTCCGGCGACCTCTCCCGGGCTGGAGAGTCCACAGCCTCAGCAAACACCTTTGCATAGCCAAGTCCCCAACGTTCCAACGACCCGTGTCCACTGCACATCCTCTATGCCCTTTACACATTCCATGTTTCCCTGAAGACCCTAAATGTTCACCCCCTATCAACTTTCACTAAGCCCTCCCCCCAAATACATATGCCCCTGGAACCCCTCCCAGCCCCTAGTGAACCCCAATACAGCAACCTCCACGTGCCACCTCAACTCCAAACACACACGGTGTCCCCACCCAAAACACACGGGAGACCCCCGCCAGAGACCCCTAGACCCTGAGGACTCAGGATAAGGAGAAGAAAGATGGGGAATAAGTGGGCAGATCTGCCAACCACAGGACACATGATAAACATGCTCTGTGAGCATGTGACCATTCTGGCCTGGAAACGCAGGTATACACACGTGCACACAAACACACACATCTTCCCCAGACACGAACATGACATACACACATATACATACACACACAGATGTGACAGACATCACACACATTCTCTGTATACACTCCACCACCACCTGACTTTGCCTTACAGAGATGTGCTACCCACACACCCCCATGGTATGGGGTTTCCATGACAATGACACACATCCCTGACCACCCACCCACCCACCCACCCAAGGTCCCCAAACCGGCCCACAAGGCTAGTAGGGCCTGGACCTATCAGAAGGCTGGAAGGAGCCAACGGATGGGGACAGGTCACCGGCTCTCTAAGGGAAAGAAACTGGTAGCCTGAATTCCTGAGGGGAGGGGGAGCTGGTGGGAAAAAGGGGTCACCCGGGGGTTGGAAGAATGGGGAACCTGGATCGCTGGGTCCGGGAAGGGAAATGCAGTGGAAGGGGGCAGTGACGAGGGGGTTTCCGGGGGCTGAGGGCGTCTCTCTGCACCTTGGCTGCAGATCTCTGTTCTCTGCCTTCATCTCCCCTCACTGTTCCCATGGAAACCTTTTAAGCGAACTTCTCAGGAAGACAAAAATCTTTTTTTAAATGACTAAAGAGGGGGTTGGGGGGGGCAGAAAGGGGGAGGGAGGGGAAGAGACAGATGGAGAGAGGGAGAGAGTTGGAGAGACAGACCGAGCAGATAGCTCTACAGACAGAAAGGAGATGAGATGGGAGTCTGATGGACTTTCGCCGGGAGCAGAGGGGAGGGACGGGGTAATCAAGAGGGGTACAGAAAATGAGAGAAATCAGGGAGGAAAGAGAAAGGGGGTGATACAACTGCAGAAAATAGAAGCAGCTGATGAGAGAAGAAAAAAAGGGGGCAAGAAAAGGAGACCTCAAGGACTGAAGGTCCGGAAGAAGAATCAGGAGCATAGGGGTGGGGCAGAGGTCTGGGGGGAGGGCAGGAACTAGGTCATTCTTTCCAAGATCCCAGACCAGGGGCTGGGAGGGGCAGGGGCAGGAACACATGGACTGGAAGCTAAAGATCTAAGGAGACTATTTTTACAAGCACCAGGAAAATAGTCAAACTTCATTGCTGGAGAGGAGAAAGGGAGCGAAGCCGAGCGAGGACCTACAGGGGCCTCTCACCCACAGCCCCTGTCCCGCTCCACCTTCCAGAGGAGGGCGCCATCTCCCCTCGGGAAGCGAGACTTTGTCTCCACCTTCTCCCGCCCCCGGCCAGCTCCCGCAGCTCCCCGACGCCCCCGCCCCGCCAGCCCCGTCCACCTTCAGCCCTCTCCCCTCGCCTGTCCGGGGCATGAGAGCCTGCTCGGCCGCCGTACCATGCTCGCCGTGGGGCCGCCCCTCCACCGGCACGGAGACTGTGCGTCTCAGCAGTTTGTTGCGACTGGACTCGCTCCTCCGGTCCCGGATCAGTAGCGGGTGTATCTAGGGGAGGTGGGGGTGTCTCAGACCTCCCTGGCCCACGCCGCCCTTCCCCTCCCTCTACCCCCCTCCGCCCCCTCCCAGGAAGGGCGGGCCTCCCTTTCCCCCGTCAGCCTGCCCACCTTCTGCCCCGGCCCCTCCACACTTGGTGACTGGATCTCTCCCTTCTCTCCCCCAGTCTCTCTCTCTCATTCCTTCCCGTCCCACCCTCTTTTCTCCCTCCATTTGTCTTGAAACACCTTCCTGAGAATTCTCCCAAACCCTACTCAGCTCTTCTGCAACTCCTCAGAAGTTAGCTACTTCCTGAATCCAGTTTTCCCTTGACCTTCAGTTCCTCCATTCTCCCTGCTTTCCTCCCAACCTCCCACCTCCCTTACCCCCTTCTCTCCCTCCGAGCCTGTCACGGGGGTAGCAGAAGCTGCATTTATAATCAGGATCCACAGCTTGTCTCCCTCCCACGGCCCGGCTTGCGGCCAGACTGGGACCCAACCTCCCCTCCCCCCAGAGGGCCTGGTCACCTTCCCCCACCTTTTATCTCCTTCCATCACCCGACCCAACATTTCTCAGTTCCCTTCTTCCCCTCAGCCATCACCTTTCCCTAAGCTTCACACCCCACTCCCCCTGTCCACCTCCATCCCTACCTCCATACACCTCCACCCCTGCAGTCTCCTCCACCTCTACCAAGAGCCACAGGAATAGACCCCTCACTATCTCCCAGCCCCAGTTCCACCACCCATCCAATTGCAACTCCCTGTGTCTATCCAGGCTGCTCATTTTCCCAGTTCCATCTACTCCCCCTCCCACACACATGCCCTTCCTACTCCAGACAGGCCATTCCAATTGCCCCTCAGCTTGCTGGCCACTGGTCCCTTCAATCTGTCCCTATCTCTGTCATTCCTTCATTACCCCAATCCATGGTCTTCCCTCTTCATCCCTATAACAGTACCCACTCTTGGTTCCAGTTTCCCTCATTTCTCCTACGGACTCCAAACCTTCATCAAGGGGTTTGACCACAGTCACTCAAATCTCTCCCAGTGGTGTCCAAAACTTAGACTCCCCAAACCACCTCCCCTTTCAAAGTCACCATATCCTCTCCTTAACACCTCTAGTTTACTCTGTGGCCTGGAAGCTGTCTACCCAGCCATCTCTCCACACTCTCACCTGCCCCCACAGGTCCCTTGACACTGTAGTTAGCCCTGACTCGAATTCTAACCCTTCCTCATTACACCATTCCCAACAACTTTCAGGGCCCATTTCTCATCACATTTGGTTTTCCAGGCTACCCTACCATTCTTTAAAGCTTGTCCCCCAAATCACCCCCATTCCCTGACTCACACTTATGGGGTATCCTTCCAGTTTTCATCCTCTATTTCCTCCGATGGACACTCCTACTGACCCAGCTCCCAAATCAGAACCCACACTCCCCTGGCTCTCAGATATCCATACCTGGCCACCACCTTCCATAAGAGGCCTCTGTCCATTTCATCTCCTTTACTCTGGCTAGTCCCTGCCCCTACTCCACTCCTACTCCTTTAGATAACTCCACATACTCCCAGTTCCCCTCCCTTATATTCCTTCCTGATGTCCAACCATTCCCTTGCAGAATCCCTCTCAGTGTCTCTCTAAACCTTGATCTCAGTCACCCTCCCAGTCTTCACCCCCATCATGCCAAGATCCACTGACCTCAGTCTTCTCTCCTATTACCCTTCAGCTACCGAAAACCTCCTCTATCCCCTGCCTTTTCTCTGGGTCCTGCAATTTCTCCTCCTTGCACTCTGCCCCCTGATGGAGAAAGGACTGGGAGTCTTGCTCAGTGGGCAAAGCAGAGGGCTTTCCATGTCTTCACCCCTTCTCCAAACCTTTCAGTTCCCCTTCCCCATTCTAACCTATCCTACAATATGGACAGTATGAAAACAGGAGCCTCCCCACCCCAAAATCTTCAGACACATCTCCTCCCCAACACAGTTCATAACCCTCAAAGACTCCCTTCCCAAAGTGAGAGGATGACTACCCCTCTTGTCACACTCCAACCCAAGTCTCAGTGGCCACCCTCCTGCCATTTGCAAATGCTTCTTCTTTGTCTGCCTTCTTTGTGTCTCTCTCCCCTTCACTAATGAGGATTCTCCCCATTCTCCCACATGCCTTTCCCCAGCCTTCTCACCCCACTCACCTCATCCTCATCCAGCATGAGCAGCTGGTTCCCCGAGATGATGCAGAACCGAGGGTTCCAACCAGGACGATCATACGGGGAATGAACATATTGGGTTCGGTGCATAGAGGGTCCCCGTACATCTGGGAGACAGAGATACACAGAAACAGTAAGGGAGGCTCTATGTATTTGGAAGCAGAGGCCTAAAATGGCAAGAAGAGAGTCCACAAAGTGAGAAGGGGACCCCACCAGCCTTCAGGAGATCACAGTTGAAAGTGAGGCACCTGGCAACTCTAAAGGAACACAAGACAAGCGTTTATACATAGGGGAAAAGAGGAGAGGATCACATCACAGAAGGCTCTGGAGACTTGGGGGAAGAAATGCAGAGGTTCAGGGACGGGAATTATATGACAGAGAAGGTACACGTTTGGGGACAGAGAAAGAAGAAGGAGCTCTCCATCTACTTCAGGAAAATAAGGTGGAGACGCCACAAAATTGGCAGGAGAAAAACAGAGAAGTTGGTGTCAGATATCTGGGTAGAGGAAGGCATCCAAATAGCTGCAGAAGACAAGGACTTGGAAGGTGGCACCATCCCTCTATAAAAGAGTATGAGGAAAGCTACACAGCTGTGGGAAAGAAGGATGGGGTGTGTGTGTAGGAACACTGGGATCATGAGATTCAGAGGGCTAAATATCTAGAAAAGAGGAAGTCAGGGAGCTTACCTGTTCACAGAGTCAGAGACATGAGAGGGCCTCCCCTCCCAACTCTCCCTCCTCTGTGCCCTCCTCCCCTAGTTCAACCCTGTTCATCCTTTAGGGAAAGTTCTGGTTCTTCTGGTGTTAAGGAGAAGATGGCTTTTGTCGGCATCTGGCTGTGGAGGGGCCAGGGCAGAATGTGAGAAATATGCCCTTGTTTGGACGAGTAGAGACCAAATTTATCTCTTCCCCCATTCAGTGCCCAGAGATTCAACACTGCCCCCACCACCTCACCCCACCTAGTCTCAATGGACAGGATGGAAGCCACTCCATAGGTTAGGAGCCTTCCCAAGGCACAGTGAAGAGCCTAAGGAAGAAAGAGGTCAGGGAGAAAGAATGGAATATCCAGGCCTGGTGACATAGAGGGGCCTCCAAAGATGAGAGCTGGAGATGGGAACAAAACTTTCAGAAGAGAGAATAGTAGACCAAGTGTCACCCATGGCTGAGATGATCCTACGGTCCTCCTTCCCCAATTCTGTTGTTCTTGCCATACCGCTTTTCCTGCAAACTGCCTCTCCTTTAAACCCCAATGCCACACAGGCCCTATTGAAGTAAGAGAGATGTCACATTGGTGACAGCAAAGAGAAATCAGCTTAAGGTATCAGATTTTAGATGGAAAAAAAGATCAAACTCTGTCACTTTTATGGGATAACCATGAGTATACTGCAGGAGAACTGGTCTTTGAGCTTCATTCCAACAGAATGCACTGAGTAGCAGAGTTTTGCAAATTCAGCCCTTTTCTGTCTATAAATATATCTCTCAAATTTACCCAGCCTCCAGATCACAGTGAGCGATGAATGTCCACCTCAGAATGTCCACCATCTAGAAACCACAATACTTTGAAACTCTATCTCAACCCATTTCCAGAGACTAACTAATGTTCTCTAGACACAAAGATCACCAATACCTAGCCTCTGAAACTACAGACATTGCTGGCAACATGCCCACCGCACTTAGACATTTGGTATACTCAGAAGAGAAATCTGTTGATACACATAAGCATCTTGGGAAAGGGCTGGTTCAGGCTGCAGCCAAGGGAGGCAGGTTAGACTTCAGAGGGCATCTTTCTCCTGGCAGCAGGGAACTTAGGAACAACTCTAGAAACACACACACACACACACACACACACACACACTGTCTGGACTTGGTGAAGAATGATTCTGGGAGGCAGATGCAAGAGGCAGAGGAACATGACTGAGAAAGGGAAAATTTTTACTAGCATGAGAAATCTCTTAAGGGCTGAGATGGGGATCCCTTGTTCTAATCATCAAAACCTGTGTCTTTATAACCCAAATCTCCAACACCCCAATAAGTAGAGGAGACAAGAAAAGAGAAATGATAATACGAGTTGAGGTATTAAGGGAAAGTGGGTAGGCACAGACTTGTGGTGACAAGGAATGGTCTGGGGGACAAATAATAGGAGTAGATATAAAAGAAAAGGAGGCAGAAATGATGGTAAATGCCTAGGGGCAAGGGAATACACCTGAAGGGCTCGACTGGACGTGTCAGAGCAAAGGAGGCAGACCTAATGCGGGGGCTATGACAAGGGGTCAAGACAGACTAGTAGAGAAGCGATAGAGATATAAGGGAGCGACCACATAGAAAAGAGATAGAGAGAGGCAATGGACACCAGAGAGGGGACTGATATAGGGGAAGGACAGAAGGGGGACTCATATAAGGAACGGACACCATATGGGGGGAAAGATATAGGTGATGGACAGCAGAGGAGGGAGGGGGAATGGAAATAAGAATTGGAGGGGTGGGGGAAGGGGGTAAAAGTGATGAAGTGAAGATAGCATTAAGACCCCAGAGGTTACGTTTCACTGGTCAAGAGCCTTTAAGAGGGTCAGAGGCTGGGGCAGGATCCTAACCTGTCCCCTACTCCCATCACTTAATTTTACTTATATTGCCACCCCACCAAGCACACATAATTTGGCCCTCCCCCTGCCCTGGTCTCCCCTCCCCCACCATTCCATCTCTCCTCTCTTCCCTCCATCTGGACCCTCCATCCCCCCACCCCCCACTGCCTCCCTCTCTCTCCATCTGGCCCCTTCTCTCCCTCCATCCTCCTCTCTTTTTCCACCCCTTACCATACTCTGAGTCCCCCACCAAATTCTCCCCCCACATCTTCTTGGCTTCTCTTTTCACCCCTATGTTTTCATTTCTCCCTCCTAGCCCCTCTTCCAAGACTCTGTCCCTCTATTTCCTTGATGTTTTCCTCATCACTCCCACCCCCAAATTATTTCTGCAGCTTTTTCCCCAACCCAATCCTTCTACCTTCCCACCCCTTTCTGGCGCTTTCTTTCCCCTTCATCATTTTCCCTTCAGCCCCCTTTCAAGGCCCATTTCCTGGCCCCTCCGTCCCTTATCTACCCCTATCCCTCTGGCCTCCAATCCCTCCTTCCCGGTTGCTCCCACCCCTGCCTTCCCGGTCCTCCCCTCTCTCTCCATTTCAGCCGCTCCCCTCCCTTGGCCCCGACTCTCCCCCGCCCCCTGCCCCTCCCCCTGTTGCCCCCCATATGGCCCTCCCCCTCCCCCCACCACGTACCTCTGAAGGGGGCATAGGACATCGCGGGGATGCTCCCCCGATGGATGGAGGCTCGAGACCTGCTCATCAGGCCTGGGGGGAGGGGGCGGGGGGACGGGGGAGAAAGAAGAGAGAAAGAGGGGGAGAAAGAGGGGGAGAAGGAGGAGGAGGTGGAGGAGGAGGAGGAGGAGAGAGGAGGAGAGAGGAGCAGAGAGAAGCAGAGAGGAGGAGAGAGGAGGAGGAGGAGGAGAATAAGAGCCAACGGCAGCAGCGGCAGCCGAGAGAGAGGGGGGGCGGGGGAGCGAGCGAGAGCTAGGAGAGCAGGAGGAGGAGGAGGAGGGAGAGACTCTGCAGCCCCCACCCCTACTCGGGGAGGCCCAGATTGTGAGAGAAAGAGACCCCTGACTCAAAAACACACCAGAGAAAGACAGAGGTGCTAAAGATGCAGACCCCAGACCCTGAGAGAGACCCTAGACCCACAGAGAAAGATACTTCACCACCCCCCACCGTGGGTTAATTTGAGACACAGGCCCAAAATCTAGAGGAAAAGAGACTCCTGATTTGAGGAAAAAACGACCCCAGATCCCCCAGAGAGAGGAACCCAAGATCAAAATCTGAGAATCCAGGCTCAAAAGGGTTCTCCATACCCACAGACATCTTAGACTCCAGACCCTGAGATGATGATTTCAGGGACCAGGACCTGAGACCTAGACTCAGAAAAAGATGAGGCCCAGATTCAGAAAGAGCCAGATGTAGAATTAGAGCTTAGAGAACTCAGACCTAGAGAGAGACCCCAGACTCAGATCTCAGAGACTGATAACTCAGAGACAGAGACACTCCAGATTTAAGGGGAGATAGAGAGAGACCTCAGCTGGTCCAGAGATGGACAACTCAGAGACCCAAAATTCATGAAGAAGACTTCGAAAGACCTCAGAGTGCGACCACAGACCCTGAAACATAGAAACCCCCCAGACCAAAAACGTAAAAGGAAACTCAGTCCTAAGAAAGATCTCCACACAAATACTGAAAGACCCCTCCGAAATCTGTCTCAGAGACAAACTCCAAACTCAAAGACAGAGATCTCAGGGAACCTCCCCTCCCCACTTCCCTGCCCTAGAACCTCCGAGAGGTAGAACCCTGACGTCAGCCTGGGAAACTCCGAGGCATCCCCACCACCAGACCAATGACCTCAGACCTTGAAGGGAGGGGAAATATTGGGTGGCGGCAGTGGCAAGAGCTTTTTTCTCTGCGCCTCCTCCCACCTCTCTGCCTCTCACTGGCCCCTCTCTCCATTTTTGGGTCACAGGATGTGCTTGCACCCCAGGGAAGTTATGTAGGGCAGGTCCTGGCTCCTCAGGGGATGGGTTAGGGAAAGGAGACCCAAGGCTGAGAGGTGGACCAATCCTGGGGAGTGGAATAGGCAGGGAAGAGGGGACAGAAGGACCATCACCACTGTCCCCATCCTGCAGCCCTCTTTCTCCTTCCCTCTGATTCAGTAGTCTGTCTCAAGCTTTGGGTTTTCAATTAAGATGGCTAGGCCCCATTTTCACCATCCTTTACCCCATTTACAGAATCTCGCTCTGTTTTAAAATGCATCTTTCCTCACCTAGCTATTGTTGTGCCATGCCCATGCCTGCCTAATCACTCCCCGCTACCCAGGGACAGCGGGCTTCTAGATCACCGTTGTTCATTCCCAAACCCAGGCATATCTCTGTCCCAACTAAAATGGCAGGGGGCGCTCTCTTAACCCCTGAGGTTGGGGTGAAGGGTCTTTCTCAGACCCTCCCACACCTTAAGGCCTCGGAAACAGTGCAGGGGAGGTTAGGCACATTGTGGGGTTTCAGAATGATTCCCCACACCACAGCCTGACGCATCGACTATGCGGGGTCTCCGGCCCCCCCCTTTCCTGGAGCCAGCACTCGCCTCACGTGGCCTGCAGGGCTGGCCTGTGATTGGCCACTTGGCGTCACTCACTGAGTGCCGCCGCCGGAGAGGACCGGCCCCCTCACGTGACAGTGGAACGCCGCAGCGGCTCTCCTCAGCCAGCAAGTGGTAGTTTCGGGTTCACACGGAAACGGGCGTGCCATTTCCGCGCACGTCTGCAGATCCGGCGGTCGATTGGTCAAGTCTCCCATCGCTCCGCCCTCATCAGGAGGCGGGCAAACCGCGCCACGAGAGGGCCAGGATTGGCTGGCTCTGGAAGCGCGGGTGGTCCCCCTTCTACTGTCACATGGTGCGCGCTGTTTTCTTATCACGTGGCTGCCACCCAGGTAAGAGGCTGCTCTTCCTGGGGTTGTTTCTCCGTGTGACGTGTGGCCTCTGAGATCAACTCTCCTCTACCAGCGTAGGCCGCATGAGTAGGGGGCGGGCTCCCGCGGTCCTGCTCGGCGGAGTGGTGAGTGACCGGCCCCGTCCCGCCCCTTCCGGTCCTCGAAGCCTCGACCGCTACCTGCACCCCAAATCCCAGAGGTTGGCCCCCTGAGGTGTGAGTGAAATGAGCCTTTGCTTTACTTTTCCAAGTTTCTCTCTCACCTTCAGGGGCATTCTTCTTCGGGGTACATCAGAGGGAGGGCAGAGCCTGAGTATCTAAGCAGAGGCTTCCCTGGGTGTAATTTCCTGGGCTGTTGGTGAGGAGAGATCGAATTCGCCTCCTGCTCTCAGGCTTCTCTGCTCCTGTCTTTTGTTTGGATGCCGGCGCTGCTGCCTGTAGCCTCCCGCCTTTTGTTGCTACCCCGAGCCCTGCTGACCATGGCCTCTGGAAGCCCTCCGACCCAGCCCTCGCCAGCCTCGGATTCCGGCTCCGGCTACGTTCCGGGCTCGGTGTCTGCAGCCTTTGTCACTTGCCCCAACGAGAAGGTCGCCAAGGAGATCGCCAGGTAGGGACCTCGATGTTCAGCGAGAAAGGATGATCATGAAGGGAGAGTTGGGGGTGGGGCAGAAGAGTGCCGCTTTCTCCTCTCTTCAGCTCTGCAAGCCTGTCTCTGGGCTGCCAGTACAAAAACTGGGGTCATGGGGCACTCTGAATGGGACTGTCTCTTCACTCCAGGGCTGTGGTGGAGAAGCGCCTAGCAGCCTGCGTCAACCTCATCCCTCAGATTACATCCATGTGAGTCATAGGAGTTGGGGGGTTAACCTAACTGTAGGAGCTGACTGGGAACCTCTTTCCTGGGGGAAATTCTTTGCTCCTCACAACTCTCCCCCTCTGACCTTTCAGCTATGAGTGGAAAGGGAAGATCGAGGAAGACAGTGAGGTGCTGATGGTGAGAAACATTTCCCCCACCCAACAAAATTTCCCCAATCCCTGACCCCTTTAGCCCTTACCCCTCTTCTAAGAAACTGAACTCAGTCCCACTCCTTGATTCAACCATGTTTATCTTTGTCCCTTAGATGATTAAAACCCAAAGTTCCTTGGTCCCGGCTTTGACAGATTTTGTTCGGTGAGAACTTTGAGATGTATGGGGTGAGGGTGTGTACTGAGGGTGTGTACTGTGGGGATGTGACTTGCTTGCGCGAGGGAGTGGGTTCCTTTAGGTCAATCTTTTGAGTAATCCCCTTCCCCCACCCACCTATCTTGTAGTTCTGTGCACCCTTACGAAGTGGCTGAGGTAATTGCATTGCCTGTGGAACAGGGGAACTTTCCATACCTGCAGTGGGTGCGCCAGGTCACAGAGTCAGTTTCTGACTCCAGCACAGTCCTGCCATGATGAGCCCTGTTCCTGCCGTGATCCCCTTGATACTTAATGCCGTCTGACTTCCAGGTGATGACCGGGCCCCCAATAAATCCTGTCTTTAGGTCTTTCTGCCTTTTGCCTGTTTTTTCCTTGTCATGTATGCAAATTTGTTGGGAGAATATAAGTGCTTCTAGTCCCTGTATTCTCTACATCTTTCAGAATGACTCCGAGCTGCTAGATTTATTTCTCTTTATTTCAATCATACAGAGTCCGGGATCCCTTATCATCCTCCCTCCTCAGTCTCTGCCCCCAGGGGTTAAATAATTTTAAAAAATATTTAAAAAGCTGTAACAAAATAACATCAAAGGAAATGGGAAGGATGGAGGGGTCAGGAATCATGAAGGAAGGTAGAGAAGAGAGCCTCTTCCCCACCCCCTACTCTTGGATTCCAGCCTGGGCAGTAGGGAGAACTATCCCCTATCTCTCCAGGTACATCCCAGCTGTAGGTGAGGTCAGAGGTCAGGGTATGAAAGTGCCGGTGTGTGTGAATGGGGAGGTGGGCAGAGGCAAGCTGTTCAGAAGATGCCCCCTCCTCCCCACTCAACCAGGTACTGCACAGAGCCATCAGGCCGTACTCTCCGAGCAAGGACCCGGACAGGGTCCCCTCGGGACAGGTAGCCAACCCCACCTCGGACTCCTCCCCCAGTCCCAGGAGACAAACTACGGCACAGGGGAGAAGGGGGTGCTGAGCGTCTAGGAAGACCTGGGGATGGGGATGAGACTGAGGAAGATGAGGCAGTCATCGAGTGGGGGGCATTTTTAGGGATGTCTGTGGGGAAACCAATGTGAAGTTCCAGGGGTGACCTAGGGAGAGAAGGCAATTGTAAGAAATGGGCAGAAATGGAGAGCACATGTGAATCAGAAAAACAGTGTTAGAGACTAAGAGCCCTGAGCACATAGAGGGGAAGAGGAGCATTGCTGGTAATAAAAGATAGAATCTCACCTGTCTGGGGGTTCACCGTCCCCAGAGGTCCCTGCGGTGCTGGCAGAAGGGTGGAAGGAAGCAAACATCCGGATGGGGCTGCTGGGGTTGGAGTGGGGCAAGTCAGGACCTGAAGCAGGGGAACAGGACCTTCTCCCCCGGGGAAGTGCAGGGCTCAAATACTACCCACAAGGGACTCCCTTCCCCAGAATACTGGCTACCAGACACTAGTTCTAGAAGTTGGTCTAGGCCAAGAAGTGGGTAGCCAAGGGGGAGCGGGAAAATAATTCTGGGTGAGAAAGTCCAGAAAATGTGAATAAATGGGAGCATATTTTGTGGGGGGGAGGCAGAGGAGCACTGACCTGGGCAGGCAGCGGGCATCTGTGGGCCGGAAGTTGTAGCCGCTGCTGCCCTGGTAAGTCTGGTTAGGGCTGGGGGATGGTGGAGACACTGAGGCCTAGAAGAGGGGGCAAAGGACTGAGAGGTAATCCTTGACTCCTTCCCACACCCCACCATTTGCTCCATAGGGTTCCCCCTGCCCCGGTACCTGCAGTGCCCTCTGCAGATGAGCCCGCTCCCTCTGCTCCCGGGGCTCGGGCTGATTGCGCACTGCTGAGGGTGGCCCCAGCTCCTCCACTTTCCCCTTCTGCCTCCTCCTCAGGGGCTCTGGCTCCGGCCTCCGGCGCTTCCCCAGGGGACGTGAGACCCCTCCCCCAGGGCCCTGCCCTGAAGGGAAGCTGTAAGAGGCCTCCTTATCCCCCCAGCCCCCTCCCGGACACCCCAAAGACCTCCCCATCTCTATACATATACCCGCCAGCACTAACACCCTGAGAATTTCCCCCATCCCCCCTGGACCAGTGACCTGGTGAGTGCTCCATCTCCAGTAGGGGGCTCCACAGGGGGAGGCATCCGAGCATGGAGACCAAACAAACATTTCCTCTTCTTAATCTCTCTCCCTGAAATGAAACTGGAGCAAGAAGAAAAATGATATAGGGTCAGTGCTGTTAAAAAAAAAAAAAAAAGGGTTCCTCCTTACACCATTCCTCAATCCTTTTCAGTCATAGTCTTCCAGGTGGGTTGCAAGCCCCTCCCCTTCCAGGCTTCCAATCTCCATCTCTTTCTGAGTCTCATCCTAGACTCCTCTTCCCTCCAACTCACCGGTCCTTGTGGCTGTTGAGAGCAGAGAGGAGCTTGGAAGAACGTTCTCCTTTGGGGGTGTCTGAAAGCTGGGAGGAATGAAGAAAAATGGGGCCAGGGGAACAGTGATTTCTTCTCTTCCCCTTTCCACTACATCTCCCTGTCCCATCCCAACCCCCAAAACTGCACTACCCCTTACCTCCCCCAGAAGCAAACTGTCCCAATTCTCAGAAGTGAAGGGGAGGATCTCACGATCAAAATCAAAGTATTTCTTCTTACAGCAAACGCTGAGGTGATACAGGACAAGATGGGCCACATCCACCCTGGAAAAACAAAATTTCCAAGACCACAGAGGCATTTTAAGAGCCAGGGGAGTCCTGAGGTGCGAGGCTGGGGCATACAGAGTAAAATACTAGGGGTGTGGAGTTACACTGAGGTCATGCCCAAGCCAGCTCACCAGCGAAGCTGTAGTCTCCGGACTTTCTCAGGGCCTCCACGACACACACAGCATTCAAATTCATAGAACCTGGACGTGGGCAAAAGGGAGAACACACACTTACGCAGGAAAACTATGCCATCCCCTGGAGGACTCACAAGCAAGGATGGGGCAAACAGGTGAGGTAATGCTGCAGATATTGGGAAGAGACTGGAGTGGAGACGGGCATGGGAACTGAGGGTGGAGCACGAAGAAAGAGAACACCTTGGCTTCTGGAGAGTCTGCCTTGGTCTCACCTGTCCCCATAGAGGAGGGGCTTGCTCAGACACTGGGTGCAGGCCTCATGGAACCACTGCAGGCAGCTCCGGCACTGCAGCATTTTCAGGTTCCACCTGAGGGGGAACATAGGACTTCTGGCCTCCAGAAACCCCCTTCCCCATAACTGCCCCAAACCCTAAACTTACCTCCCATCCCCCTGAGTGCTACCCTCATCCTGTTCTTTTTCCTTCATTTCCTGGGAGGCACCACCACATCATTCATTCCACAGTCTGCTCCCCCTCATTACTCACTCCCCAGGGCCACCACAGTAACAGTAACTCTGCTGTCGGTTGCTCAGATGTCCAGCATCCCAGTCCAGCCCCTTCAGTCCATATGGCAGAGAGAGCTTCATACCCAGCATGGCCCGGGCATAGGGGCCCTTCTTCAGGGCACCTCCCCTCTGCAGAGACAGGACAGGTGGATGACTTCAGAGGGGTGGGGAGAGGAAAAGGCTTGGGAGAGGATGTGGATGGGAGGCTCCCACAGGAAGGGGTAACAGGGAAGTGCCTTTACCTTGGTGGCGATCGCAAAGACACACTGGCGGCATACCCAGGATGTGCCCTCTCCCTCTCCAGGGGCTGGGGCCCTGGGAACATGGCAGTCCTGGTGATAAGCTGAAGAGTGATAATGTTAATAGTAGACCACTTATTGCATACCTGTGTGTGCTTGGTATTGGGACAGGAATAGTCTTTACCCATCTCATTTAATCCTTGACCATGTTCTTGATGAGAGGGTACATGATCCTTATTTTACGAGTCAGGGAACTGAGGCTCCTAGAGGTTAAGGGACTTGTCCAAGGTCATATGGTTAGAAAAGGATGCAGTTAAACCATCCTCTGCTTGCAAAGGTTACACCACCCCTTTCCATGGCTGCTTCTCCCTGGGCTGAAAGGGGATGAGGACTAAGATAGGGCTAAGCAGCCTGGCCAGAGCAGTGGCTTGGGGACTAAGGCCATGACAGGTGACATAAGGACCATCCTGGAGGGAAGAGCAAGCTAGACCATTCAGGTGACCTGCCCTCTCACCATGGCGACACTTCTCACAGCTGACCAGCCGGTTCCCAGGGACCACAGTCTCAGAGCGACAGACACAACAGAGGAGTTCCTCCCCAGGGAGGGCAGCTGTGAGAGAACACAGTGTCACGGGGCCTGCCCTTAAGTCTCTTTCTGCCCCTCTAAGCCAGGTTTGTTTTCCATGGGATGTGCAATCTCAGGTCTCTAGTCTTACCAGGGCTAATGTCTTTCCATAGAACCAGAAACTGCGAATCATCCTCAAACTGGACCAGACACACCTCTCTAGCACTATCCACCTGGAATGAGTGAGCAAAGAGGATGAAATGGGAACCAGAATTAGATAAGGGAAATAGGAAAAAGATCAGAGGTAGAAGGTCTTACCTTTTTGATGGTACCCAAGTATAGCAGCCCATCAGTCCATCTGGCCAGCACATCTTGACCCTCCCAAAGTCGAGGCCTGGGGCCAGAGGTGGGAGCAGGAGAAGCTGGGTCCCAAAGTGAGGAGGTACCAGAGCGGCTCAGCCGGGGGGGCTGCGCCATTGCATCCTGGGGGGGCCTAGCCAGAAAAGAAATGGGGAGGAGAAGGTTATGAATGCTCAGAAAGCTTCCCCATTTTTTTTTTCTGAGATGGAGTTTTGCTCTGTCGCCCAGGCTGGAGTGTAGTGGCACAATCTTGGCTCACTGCAACCATCACCTCCTGGGTTCAGGCAATTCTCCTGCCTCAGCCTCCCAAGTAGGTGGGATTAAAGGTACCCACCACCACGCCTGGCTATTTTTTGTATTTTTAGTAGAGAGGGGGTGTTGGCCATGTTGGCCAAACTGGTCTCGAACTCCTGACCTCATGATCCACCCACCTCAGCTTCCCAAAGTGCTGGGATTACAGGCGTGAGCCACCGCGCCCGGCCAACTTCCCCATTTTCTTTGCCTATTTTGCCGTCAAGAATGAAGGATCTGTGCCCCCATCTCCAAATCCCTGAGACACCTGGATAGGAAACCACCAGGCACCCATCACCAGCTTCTTGAGTCCTCTTTCAACTCTAGTGACTGGCTCTCCTCACGGTAACTGCCCTCCCCCCAACCCCAAACCTAGTTGCTAGTTTCCCAGCTTCCAGAGCTCTCCTGGGATATTATATCCTGGCCTTGAAATTTTAGGAGAAATTACGGTTGTAGAAGCAAAGGCTACCACTCAGTTTAGAGGTATCATAATTAGGGTGTCCTGTTGCCCAGAGATGTGTTTTGGGACCTTTTCTGGAGATGTTTTCCAGAGCAGAAACGGCTGTCTCCCCAGGCCTGCGTGTCTCATTAAGAACAATCATCCTGGTGCCAGGTTATGTCAGGTCACCCTCAAATTCGGGGCTCCCTGCCCCCAGGTTAGACAACTTCTCCGAGTGCCCCGGGAGGGGGGCGTGTCCCAGTCCTGGTCTCCACTCCCCAGGACCGCAAGTCCGAGAAGGGACTTGAGTCGGCCCAGCTCGGACCCGAGGCCAAGGCGGCGAGGCTCTCCCGCCCGCGCCCCGCGCCGACCCCCGGCTCCCTGCCCCCCACCGGCGCCTCCTGCCGCCTCCTTACCGGTGACAGCTGGGGCCGCCAGGAGCCGGGCAGGGGCAGACGTAGGAGACCTAGGCGAGTCCCCCGCGCGGAGAGGGCACGTCCGGGCGTGGGGGGGTGTGCAGGCGGAGGCCGGGGGGTCCCCAGGCCCAGCCCCTCCGTCCCGGCGGCTCTGGGGCGTATGACGCAGCAGCCAAAGCAGCGGCAGCGGCAGGAGGAGGAGGCGGCGGGGGGGAGGGAGGGGAGGGACGGACCGGTTGGGGGGGAGGGTGGTGGGAGGGGAGGACTGGGGGGAAGGAGGAGCCGGAGGGGGGGGCGGGCACCACCTCACCCCACCTCCCTCACCTCCGACAGGCCTGGAGGGCGCCGAGGAAGAGGCAGGCCCTCCGCGGCTTGGGAAGCAAAGAGTCGGACCCGGTGGGAGAGGGAATCCCCTCAGCCCCTTCCTCCGACCTGAGACTCGCCCTTGGGGCACGAGGGAATCCCCCCTCCCGGCAGCGCGCCTCCGGACTGGTCCCCCGCCCCATGCCACATCCGTTAACTGCCCCACCCCCCATGGTCACTCCAAGTCCCGCCCCCCGGCCCCAGTTCACGGCCCCGCCCTCCATTCACCCTTCTCGATGCCCCCACCACGCCCTCCTCCCTCGCGCGCCCCGCCCTCCACTCGCCGTTAGCCCCAGCCCCGCCCTCCCCGTGGCGAGTCGCGCCCCACCCGCCGCCCTTTTGCGCACGCGTGTCCCCTCCTGCGCGCGGCACCTGGGAGGACTGAGCTCCTCCTTCACGGGGCGGCGGCCGTCGGCGGTTGGCGAGAGGGAGTCGGCGGGCGTGCGCGCCGCTTCCCGGGCACGTCCCGCCCCGTGCTTCCAGGGCTGGCGCAAAGACGAAGGGGGCAAGGACCCGAGGCGGTGACGCCACCGAGAGCCAGCCAATGGGCAGCGAGCGGGCAGAGCCCCAGCCGTTCGAACGGAAAGGCAGGGAAAGGGCGGGAGGAAAGAGCCAGCAGTTTGGGAGCGCGCGCTAGCCCCGCCTCTGGACTCTGGGGTCCGGTCCCCATTTGCCGACACCCACCAAAGGAACGTTGCTCCCTGGGGCTGGGGTGGCCGGCGGAAGGGTGAAACTTATCTAGATAACTAGTGACCAAGGAGAGGGCGTGGATAGCTAGAGGGCACGCCTCCCTGATGTGAGGGACGGGGGAAGGGGTATTAGCAGAGGGGAAAATGATCCAGACCATGGTCCAGAACCGGTGAGAGCTGAGGAGAGGAAAAGCCTAAGCCCTCAGCCCCCGCTCCCGCCTCCCACACAAACGTTTGGCAGAGGGGACAGATCACAGCTCCCACCTTTACAGATATGAAAATATCTGCCTTCTTGGGCAGATAAACCTTTATTTAAAAAAAAAAAAACAAAACTATTCTTTATTTGATAGCCCTGGGACATGGTGCCCTCCACCCAATAAAGCACCCTCCAGCAACCCTCCCACTCCTCACCCAATACATACACATACAGATACACACACACACACTCCCAACACAAGATCTGGATCCGTCTTCACTTCCTGTTGGCCTGGGCAGTACCAATAACACACTGGTTCACCTGGGGGTAGACAGGATAAAAGTTTGCAGAGTAACCAATACAACATTTTCCCCAAGATCTCCTTCCATCCTCCAATGCTAGGGCTGCCCTCAGAAATACTGAAATAAGGCCTCCAAAGGCAGGTTCAGGCTGGTCCCAGTTATGGTTGGTTCTCCTCTGCACACTAGGTTTGGAGGAGGTTAAAAGGCCTGAGAAGAGATAGAAGCCCCAGAAGAAAATACAGGAGCAGAGAGAGGAGGCTTTCATTTCCAGCAATACCCTGTACTAGAGACCTCCAACCTCTCCCACTGTAAAATACTTAAACCGAGATAAAAGAGTAATAACACCCATTTAGGAACTAGGACTCCTTAGAAAATGGATCAGTTGAAATCTGGGGAGGAAATGTACAAGTTGAATCTGAAAAGACTGCTAGAGTTCTGTCTAAAGGACACTGGCGCCAACCTGAGGGAGGTTTTTTTTTTTTTTTTGAGACAGTCTTGCTTTGTCACACAGGCTGGAGTGCAGTGGCTCAATCTCGATGCTCACTGCAAGCTCCGCCTCCCAGGTTCACGCCATTCTCCTGCCTCAGACTCCTGAGTAGCTGGGACTACGGGCGCCCTCCACCACACCTGGCTAATTTTTTGTATTTTTAGTAGAGACAGGGTTTCACCGTGTTAGCCAGGATGGTCTCCATCTCCTGACCTCGTGATCCACCCGCCTCGGCCTCCCAAAGTGTTGGGATTACAGGCGTGAGCCACCGCACCTGGCCAGGAGGTTCCTATTGGCCCAAAATGGGGCAATTTGAGCATCAGAAAGAGGAACAACTGTGGCTGGGCTGGGTGGCTCACGCCTGTAATCCTAACACTTTTGGTGGCTACCGTGAGCTATGATTGAGCCATTGAATTCCAGTCTAGGCAACAGAGCAAGTCTCTGTCTCAAAAAAATAAAAATAAAAATAAAGATAACCCTCAGATAAACATTCATTGGTCACCTTTGGAAGCTGCTAGGGTATCAACTCAATACTGAAAATCAATAAATAATTCAGCATTTATCTTGTTTTTCCTGTATGAACTGAATTTCAGAGAAACCAAGTAGATGGCAAGGCAAATGTCTTCATAAAAAAATTATGACTAACCAATGCAGAACAACTAAGATTAGAAAAATCGCCATTTAAAAACCCCTTAATGAAATAATGGATCCAGGTATGGTCACTGATGGGTAAAATCACTAGGTGAAAAAGTCAGTAAGGAGCTTTTAAATGGATAGATCACGCTAACAACACCCAAATATGATAAATAAGTGAAAGTACGGGGGAAAGAGGAAGCAATCAGCCAAAATCCAGAATAGTATATTCGATAGGACAAATGACCTTCAACAAACAAATGACATAATAGTGGCAGTGTGGGGTAGGGTTGTGGAACTTTAGACATTTCAATCAAGTGGGTGGCCCTTGCCTGGATCCTGATTTGAACAAACCTATTAGGTATAAAAGACACTTCTGAGACAGTTGGGTAAAATTTAACATAAACTGGGTATTAGAGGATATTAAAGTTCATGTTGTTGGATGTTACATTGGTATAACATTAATAAAAATTAGAAAAAACATCACCACCCTCTAAAATTGAACTTAGAATACCAGATCAGGGTGCAGGTGCTGGCTACAGCAACAATCAGTGCTGATTGGGAGAAGGCCCAAGCGCACAGCAGGACAGACCTGATCAGACCTCAAATAAAGCCAGAGCCCATTAAAGGGCTATACGCTCAGGAGGAGGGTGAACCGGAGAAAAAAATTACCGTAGAGGCAGACAGTAAGGAAATTTTCTGACTTGCTTAACACTAGTGGGAGGAGATTCTAGTGGAAGGAATTCTCATACGTGAGAATTCATATGGCCACTGGCTGATCCTCATGGAGTTTGGAGTCTGAATTCACACTATTTGGAACAGTCTGAAAAATCTGTAAGCCTTTGATCCAGTAATCCCATTTCAAGGACTATTTCCCTGGTTAGATGTAACTGAAAAAATACAAAATGATGTATGTACAAAGTTAGTCAATGTGGCCTTGTTTGTAACTAAAAAAGGGTGGAAACAATCCAAGTGTCCAGTAGAGGGAACTGGTGGATAAATTTTGGTGCAACTACATAGTGGAGTCCTAGGCAGACCTAAAAATAATGGAATGATCTCTGTATGCTGATGGGGAGGAATCTTAGGGATATTTTGTGTGTTGTTTTGTTTTTTGAGACAAGGTCTTGCTCTGTCACCCAGGCTGAAGTGCAGTGGTAGGATCATGGCTCACTGCACCCTCTACCTCCCAGGCTCAGGTCATCCTCCCACCTCAGCCTCCTGAGTAGCTGAACTACAGGTGTGAGCCACTACACCCAGCTAATTTTCCTGTTTTTTGTAGAGACAGGTCTCACTATGTTGCCCAGGCTGATTTTAAACTCGTGGGCTCAAGCAATCCTCCTGTCTTGACTTCCCAAAGTGTTCGGATTACAGGCGTGAGCTACTGCGCCCAACCAGTTTAGACCTTTTAGTCAGTCACCTTTTCTTTTTTTTTTTTTTCCAATCAGCTTTCTCAGGTTAAATTAATCACCTGTTTTTTAAAAAACTTAACTCGAAAGCTAATAATTAAAAATGGAACCATGGTGAGTACTGCCTCAGATGCCTGCAAATGTAAAACCTTTCTGGACAAATGTGCTCCCTGCCCTAGAAGACAGAAGGGATAGGAATGGAGAAGCCTACAAGCACCCATGGGTCCTGACAAGGCCTGGGATTCATTGGTGGTAGTCGCACCTTGGAGGCAAAGCGTAAAGAGTTGAGGGACTCGGAGACGTTCTCTTCCAGTGGAGAAATGTTCACAAACATGAGCCTATGAAAACAGAATATGCCCAATCCCAGCATTAGGGGCCAGCAGAGCCTGGACAGGTCTCCACTGTTCCCCTCTTTCTACCCCTCACCCCAACACAGTTCCTACCTGAACCCTTCCATCTGTCCCTTTCACTCACATCTTAGCACTACCACCCAGAGAGTTCTGCAGCAGGTAGGTCAGTTTGCTGTTCCGGTAAGGCACATGGGACTCCTACATGATTGAGGTGGGGACAGATGTTTAGGAATGGGCAGAGTTCTGCACAGCCAACCCCAACTGGTCCCCAGGTCCCATATCTCCCCCCACTCCTATTCCCACCTTGTTACTCAGGGCCATGATAACCAGCCCCAGCGTGGACAGGCTGCTGTTAATGGCCTGTGTTTCCCGAAGGCGTTCCCGCTCCCCGGGGCCGAGGGCTAAGCCAGGGTCAAGTCGCTCACTCCCGGCCAGGTCAACAAGACTGAGGGAGGCCCCACACTGCAGGCCTCGGCTGGAGTGCTCCCCAGAAATCTGTAGCTGGAATACACTGTGGCTGCGTGATGACCGTTCATTCTGGGCTGTGCGGGCCACAGCCCGATTCTGGCGGGCCAGATGAAGCAGGGCCTCCACCTGGGGATGGGAGCAGAAGGGGCAAAAGGGCAGGCAGACGTCAGTACATAGTAATATGTATGGAAATAAGTAAGAGCCCACCCCCACTCTCTTGAAGCTTTCTAGCCTGTCAACAAACAAAATTAGATGCACAGTATGTCTGAAAATGGTAAGGAATACATAGAATAGGGAGTGTATAAAGGCGGGGTGGGGAACCAAGTTTTGACAGGATAGCCAAAGATGGCCTCATTGCCATAAGATCTCCAGGAAAGGAGCATCCAGGCAAAGGCCCTGAGATGGGGAGCATGACTAGTTGGTTGAGGAATAGCCAGGACACCAGCATGGCTAGGATGAGCTGAGCAAGATGAGACCTGAGATGCAGTGACCCTCCCCATTTCGGCAGCTGCATCACTCCCTCGCCACTCCCGGGTTAAGGCAGATCTACCTACAGCCCACAGGCCAAAACGGGATGTGGTAACCCAGCCTCACAACTTGTACTTCATCCTTCAATTCTCTCCTGCTCCTTTCTCTCTCTACCTCCATCTTGTGGCACCCTGCCCACTCCTCCCCATTCCCCAGTTCCAGTGCCCATGGGTCCTCACTTCTTTCTCACAGGAGACAGGGACATATCGAGCATTGGTGACAGTGAGCTCCTCGCTCCCTGGCCCTGCACGGCGAATCTCACACTCGCCCCCTTGACCTTTCCGGGTTCCAGTGGCCAGCAGGTCCCGGACAGTCTCATTGTAGATCTCCACGTAGCTTGCTACAAAGCTGTAGGTCCAGCCCTGACCACTCAGCTCCTGGGCCACAGAGAAGAGGTGCCGTAGGGCCCGAGGGATCAGCCCCTCCAACTGGGGGTCTCCCCCAGGCCCACCCTCCATTGTGAAGGTCTTGCCACTGCCTGTCTGGCCATAGGCAAAGATGCATACTGGATAGCCATCCAGGGCTGACTGGACAAGCATGGCAATCTCTTCAAACACTTCATCCTGTCCACTTCCTGGTGGGAATACCCGGTCAAAGGAAAAATCGTGGCGAGTTGGTGGGGCTAGTGCCCCACTCAGGGTCCCACGCCGCTCATCAGACCGGGAGAGGCTAAGGCGGGTTGGAGGATCAGAGGGCCCACCAGGGCCAGAGGGAAACAGGAGGAGGCCAGGGGGTGGAGTGGGCTCCCCAGGAAGGACAGGGCGGACCCGGCAGAATACACGGATGTTGCCCTTGAGTTCCTGCAGCTGGTTGTGCAGTCGCCGGCGCTCCATTTCTAGCCCGTGAAGACGTTCTTCCCGCTCAGCCAGTAAGGCTGCCTGGGCCGCAGTCTCCTGCCACAGAGATGCCACCTCTGCTCGGCTGCTTGACAGGGCTACTTCTGATGTCTGCAGCCTCCTCTGCCCAGAACAGAACACAACATACACAGAGGGTGATTTGCAACCAAGAATAAGAACAAATTGTGAGGCATATGGAGTGGGTGGAGTGAGGTCCCCGCTGAAAAGGACCTCAACACCTGGTAAACAAAGAAAGATAAGAAAATAAGGAATCATGGTACTAAGACAGGGAGTGCTATGGGTATGCCCAAGCACAGAGGAGCACAAGGAAGATGATATCTAGGCTGACACCCAGAAGTACAGAAGTGAACCAAGGAAGGATGCAGTACACAAAGAACATTCCAGAAAGAGGGAAGCACATATGCATAATACCCAGAAGTGAAAGTTGAGTCATTTAAGAGACTGCAAATAATTCAATCTAGTTGGTGCTCACCAGGAAGGAGTCAAGTGGACATGGGAGGAGGGAAAGAGAGTACCACAGGAATTTGTGATCAGGATGCCAAAGAAAGAGGGATGGAGGACTAAGGAAGACACAGATCTAAATGGGAGCTTTGCAAACAGTCAAGGGTAGGAAGAAGCATGGCAGAAAAGCAAGACAGTCAGGAGTGGGCTGGGTGCAGACTGGTGGAAGAGAGAGGTATCTTCAGCAGCACCTATACTGCTAAAGATAGGTGCTCAGGAGTTCTGAGCCCAAACAGACTTGAGGGGCACCTGGAACGGAGGGGAGGCATGACCTCTGCCAGGAAAGCGGGGCTGGCATCTGGTGAAAATCTGGCCCTTACCTCCTTCTCCTCTAGTTGGGACGTCAGTCCCCTCCTCTCTTCCTGCAATTCCACCTGTTTTTTCTGAAGCTCTTGCACCAAGCCCTCCTGCGTGCTCAGCCGCTCTTCCAGCTCCAGGACACAAGCACGCAAGTTCTTCAGCTCCTGTTGGCTCTGCTCAGCCTGGGCCTGTACCTTGGCTAAATGCCCCTCCAGTGTCCTGCGCTCTGTCCCCAGGGCCTTGGCCTGCTGTTGGGCATCTCTGAGCTGGTCCTGAAGCTGCTGGTTCTCTTGGTCCAATGTTTGAGTCCTCTCACGGCAGCGTTTTAGTTCTGCGTTTAGGTCACATAACTGACCCTTTAAGTCCCAGGCTGGACGTTTGCTGGGTTTCTTCCCTCCTGCCATGGGAGGAACAGCTGATGCTAAGATGAACACAGAAAGGACAAAGCTCAGTGAAGTCTAGGCTCTCTATCCCTCCTCCCTTCTAGCCTTTATGGGATCCACACCTGATGCTACATCTCCTTCCCCTAAGAGACCAGATGGATTTTTCTGGGCACTCACCATCCTCTCTTCCCTATCCCAGCCTCTCACCCAGTGGTTATGTTTGTCACCTACTGCCAGGCTTCTGGACAGGAACAGCAGGAACTGGCTTCTGGTTCTTCAACCCTAGAGAATTGAGGAGGTGACTTAGGAAGTACAGGACCAGTGTCCCTTCACCTCCGTCATTCTCCCTTTACATATTACCCCAAATCCCTTCTCAGACCCAGCTCTTGAGCACAATTACCTGTGGCAATAGCTGTGGAACACCGGGGTCCTGTCTTCTTGGAAACTTTTTGAGCTGCCCAGGAGATGGGAGAGAGCAAAGGTAGAATGATCATTCTTAAGATGACATGTAATCTTGCTAGGACAGGGGCAGGAGAAGTGCTTTTCTCAGAATTAGAAATAAGATAATTTTCTTTCTGGCCAGCTCCTAATGATACCTCCCCTAGAACCAGAAATTACAGTCATCCCTCAGTATCCAAAAGGGGTTGATTCTAGCACCCCCCAAGAATACCAAAATCCAAGGATGCCCAAGTCCCTTACATAAATTGGTATATAGTATTACATATAGTCTATGCACACCCTCCCATATACTTTATTTATTGATGATTGAGACAGAGTTTCACTCGTTGCCCAGGCTGAAGTGCAATGGTATGATCTCAGCTTACAGCAAACTCCACCTCCCGGGTTCAAGCGATTCTCCTGCCTCAGCCTCCCAAGTAGCTGAGATTACAGGCATGCACCACCATGCCTGGCTAATTTTGTATTTTTAGTAAAGACGGGGTTTCACCATGTTAATTAGGCTAGCCTCGAACTCCTGACCGCTGGTGATCTGCCTGCCTTGGCCTCCATTTTTTTTTTTTTTTTTTTTTGAGATGGAGTTGCGCCCTTGTCACCCAGGCTGGAATGCAATGGCGCAATCTTGGCTCACTGCAACCTCCGCCTCCAGGGTTCAAGCAATTCTTCTGCCTCAGCCTCCTGAGTAGCTGGGATTACAGGCATGCGCCACCATGCCCGGCTAATTTTTTTTTTTTTTTTTTGTATTTTTAGTAGAGACAGGTTTTCAGCATGTTGACCAGGCTGGTCTCAAACTCCTGACCTCAGGTGATCTGCCTGCCTCAGCCTCCCAAAGTGCTGGGATTACAGGCGTGAGCCACAGCATCCAGCCACATATACTTTAAATCATCTTTAGATTACTTATAATATCTAACACAATGTAAATGCTATGTTAATACAGTCATGTGCCCATAATGACGTTTCGGTCAATGACAGACTGCGTATACTGTCATTGACCCGTAACATCATAATGGAGCTAAAAATTCTTATTGCCTAGTGACATTATAGCCATGGTAATGTCATAGCATTCCCCACCTGTTTGTGGTGATTCTGGTATAAACAAACCTAATGCACTGCCAGTTGTATAAAAGTATAGCACATACAATTATATATAGCACATAATACCTGAAAATGATAATGACTATGTTACTAGTTTACATATTTACTGTATTGTACTTTTTATTGTATTTTAGAGTGTATTCCTTCTATTTGCAAAAGCAGTTAACTATAAAACAGCCTCAGGCATGTCATTCAAAAGGCATTCCAATTTAATTTTAAAAATAAAATTTTAAATTAAAAAAATAATTTTAGGTGGGGCATAGTAACTCACACTTGTAATCCCAGCACTTTGGGAGGCCGAGGCAGGCAGATCACAAGGTCAGGAGATTGAGACCATCCTGGCTAACACGGTGAAACCCCATCTCGACTAAAAATACAAAAAAGTAGCTGGGCGTGGTGGCGGGCACCTGTAGTCCCAGCTACCAGGGAGGCTGAGGCAGGAAAATGGTGTGAACCCGGAAGGCGGAGCTGCAGTGAGCCGAGATCACGCCACTGGACTCTAGCCTGGGCGATAGTGCGAGACTCCTTCTCAAAAGAAAAAAAAAAAGGGCATTCCAGAAGGCACTGTTATCACAGGAAGTCACATCTCCATGTGTGTTACTGCCCCTTAAGATCTTCCAGTGAGACAAGATGTGGAGGTGAAAGCCAGTAATGTTGACGATCCTGACCCTGTGTAGGCCTAGACTAATGTGTGTTTCTTCATTTTTAACAAAAGGTTTCAAAAGCAAAATAATATTGAAAAATTTTCAAATTCAAGCTTACTTCTTGGAAAAAAATACAAATAAAATTTTAAATTAAAAAAAGAATTTTAGGTGGGGCATAGTAACTCATGCTTGTAATCCCAGCACTTTGGGAGGCTGAGGTGGGCAGGTCACAAGGTCAGGAGATCAAGACCATCCTGGCTAACACGGTGAAACCCCATCTCGACTAAAAATACAAAAAATTAGACGGGCGTGGTGGCATGCACCTGTATTTCTAGCTACTCGGGAGGCTGAGGCAGGAGAATTGCTTGAACCCGGGAGGTGGAGGTTATAGTGAGCTGAGATCATGCCACTGCACTCCAGCCTGGGC